CCCGGGGGGCTCGGGGCCGTGAGGGCCGGGGGGCTCCGGGCGCTTCGGGGGCCCAGGCCGGGGTGCCGGGGTGCCCGGAGCCGGGGGTTCGGAGCGGCGGGAGCGCCCTGCCCCCCGCGGGGCCCGGCTAATTAATTAGTCACTCATTACCGGCGGGGAGCGGCCCCGCCCGGCCGCGCTTCCTGCGCCGCTGGGGCACGGACGGGGGGCACCGGGGACCCAGGGGTGTCCCAGCGTGCCGCACCTTGCGGCCGGGGCACTGCTGTCCGCCAGAAAGCCCTTTCCAGCCTCAGCCGTGCCCCGATCCCCTTCCCCGAGCCGCCCGTGGGTGTCCCCGGGGTGCCCGGTGTGCCCGGTCCGGTGTGCCCGGTGCGCCCGGTGTGCCCGGTGCCCGGCCGGGGCTCCGGGCCGCTCAGCCTCTCCCGTCCCCCCAGTTTGTCCTGAAGAACTATGGGGAGAACCCCGAGAGCTACAACGAGGAGCTGCGCAAGCTGGAGCTGCTGCGGCAGGTGAGGCCCCGGGGCTCTGCCACCCCCGGGCCGGGCCGGGCCGGGCCGGCTGCTCCTGCCCTGCGGTGGCACCCGGAGCAGCCCGGGTGACGGCTGGGGCAGCACGGACAGCTCCCGCACAGCCCCAGCCCGGTGCTGTGGGGCAGCAGGGCTGGGGACCTTCCCGGTGCTGCCGCTGTGCCCTGCTGTGCCCCAGCACGCCCAGCCCCGTGGCTGTGCCAGCCCTGGGGCTGTGCCGGGGCTGCGGAGCCTCAGTGCCCACCCTGCTCCCCCCGATCCGTGGGGCTCCCCCGGGCCCGTTTTGGCACCACTCGGCTGTTCCCAAGGTCTCCCGGGGCCTGCCCCATCCCGGTGCTGCTGGCTGGGCCTCCCCTGCGGGACACTGCTGCTGCTGCCCGGGAGCTGTCCCAGAGCTGTCCCCAGAGCCTGTCCCAATGCTGTCCCCAGAGCTGTCCCCAGAGCTGTCCCAGAGCTGTCCCAGAGCTGTCCCAGAGCTGTCCCAGAGCTGGTCCCCAGAGCGCCGTCAGCGTTCCCAGGGACTTCGAGGGCTGCAGCACGCTGCGCAAGTACCTGGGGCAGCTGCACTTCCTGCAGAGCCGCATCCCCATGGGCCACGGCCAGGAGGCCGCCGTGCCCGTCACCTGGTGAGGGAGCGGCGTGGGATGGGGTGTCTGGGATGGGGGATCTAGGATGGGATGGGATGGGGGATCCAGGATATGATGGGGTATCTGGGATGGGGGGCTGAGGCAGGCAGGGTGTGGCCGTGCCCATCCCCTGGGGAAGGGCTGCTCCAGGAACCCCCTGAGGAATGGGATCCTGCCTGGGGTGGCACAGGGGGATCCCAGGGGACCCTTGGGGAACGGGGTCCTGCAGAGGGGGGTCCCGGGGACCCTTGGGGAACGGGGTTCCCAGTAGTCTGCGCAAGTACCTGGGGCAGCTGCACTTCCTGCAGAGCCGCATCCCCATGGGCCACGGCCAGGAGGCCGCCGTGCCCGTCACCTGGTGAGGGAGCGGCGTGGGGGTCCGGGGTGGGGTGGGGTGGCTGGGATGGGGTATTCGGGATGGGGGATCCTGAGATGGGAGATCTGGGATGGAATGGGATGGGATGGGATGGGATGGGATGGGATAGGGGATCTGGGATGGGATGGGGGATCCAGGATATGATGGGGTATCTGGGATGGGGGGCTGAGGCAGGCAGGATGTGGCCGTGCCCATCCCCTGGGGAAGGGCTGCTCCAGGAACCCCCTGAGGAATGGGATCCTGCCTGGGGTGGCACAGGGGGATCCCAGGGGACCCTTGGGGATGACAGTGTCCTGCCCGGGGTGGCACAGGGGTGGCACAGTGATGTCCTGGGGGATGTGGTCTTGTCTGGGGTGGCACAGGGGGATCCCAGGGGACCCTTGGGGAACGGGGTCCTGCAGAGGGGGGTCCCGGGGACCCTTGGGGAACGGGGTTCCCAGTAGTTCCTGCTCCTGGGGGAACCCTGGTTGCTCCCTGTGCCGTGCCCCTTCCCCCAGGACTGAGATCTTCTCGGGCAAGGCGGTGACCCACGAGGACATCAAGTACGAGCAGGCCTGTGTCCTCTACAACCTGGGTGAGCTCCCTGGCCCCTGCAGCCCTGGGGTGGGGGTCCGGGGTGGGGTGGGGTGGCTGGGATGGGGTATTCGGGATGGGGGATCCTGAGATGGGAGATCTGGGATGGAATGGGATGGGATGGGATGGGATGGGATGGGATAGGGGATCTGGGATGGGATGGGGGATCCAGGATATGATGGGGTATCTGGGATGGGGGGCTGAGGCAGGCAGGATGTGGCCGTGCCCATCCCCTGGGGAAGGGCTGCTCCAGGAACCCCCTGAGGAATGGGATCCTGCCTGGGGTGGCACAGGGGGATCCCAGGGGACCCTTGGGGAACAGGGTCCTGCCCTGGGGAGCCCTTGGGGAATGGGGTCCTGCAGAGGGGGTCCCAGGGACCCTTGGGGAACGGGGTTCCCAGTAGTTCCTGCTCCTGGGGGACCCCTGTTTGCTCCCTGTGCCGTGCCCCTTCCCCCAGGACTGAGATCTTCTCGGGCAAGGCGGTGACCCACGAGGACATCAAGTACGAGCAGGCCTGTGTCCTCTACAACCTGGGTGAGCTCCCTGGCCCCTGCAGCCCTGGGGCTGCCTGGCCCAGCCCCCGTTCCCAGGGTGCTGGGGTGTCCCTGCTGAGCCCCCCTGTCCCCACAGGAGCCCTGCACTCCATGCTGGGAGCCATGGACAAGCGCGTGTCCGAGGAGGTAACACCCAGCCCTGCCAGCTCTGTCCCCTGGGGCACAGGTGGCACCTGGGCAGGGGCTGTCCCTGTGCTGGGCACTGGCAGCAGCCCGGAGCCCGTGGGGTTTGGGGTGTCCAGGTGCAGGGCGTGGAGGGGCTGGAGCAGAGCTGGGCAGGGGGAGCACCAGGAGGGGACTCAGGAGGAGCCTGGGGACAGCTGGGGGTCAGGCTCTGCTCCCAGGGCACAGGACAAGAGGGAATGGCCTCAAGGGGAGGCTCAGGTGGATATTGGGAATGTTCCTCTGGAAAGGGCTCTCCAGCCCTGGCCCAGCTGCCCGGGGCAGGGCTGCAGTCCCCATCTCTGCAGGAATTTAAAATCCCTGTGGATGTGGCACTTGGGGACATGGTCAGGGCTGGCCTTGGCCGTGCTGGGGGCTGGGTGGACTCCACGATCTGAGGAGTCTTCTCCAAACCCAGCAACTCCATCCCCTCAGGGCATGAAGGTTTCCTGCACCCACTTCCAGTGTGCTGCTGGTGCCTTCACCTACCTGCGGGATCACTTCCCTCATTCCTACAGCGTGGACATGAGCCACCAGATCCTCAGCCTCAACATCAACCTCATGCTGGTAGGAGCTGGGGGCACTGGGACCCCTGAGTGTGTCTGTGGGGCTGTGTTCCCCGTGCCTCCAAGGGCACAGGACCCCAGTGTCCCCCGGGGCTTCTCTGTGGGGTCTGGGCTCTCTCCCAGGGCGGGGAGAAGGAGGTTTGGGAGGCCCTGGGGGATCAGGGAAGGCTCAGTGCCATTGCTGGGCTCTCCCAGCACCCGCAGGGCTGGTATTCCCTGTGCCACACCCACCCCTTGGAGGGGGCTGGAGCCAGTGGGTCCTGCAGGGGTCTGGGCTGTCCCAAGGGCTGGGGACCCTGAACATTCCTCTCTTGTCCCTGGCAGGGCCAGGCACAGGAGTGTCTCCTGGAGAAGTCCATGCTGGACAACAGGAAGAGCTTCCTTGTGGCCCGGATCAGTGCCCAGGTGAGCTCCAGGAGCTGCTCCCAGCACAGCCCTGCTCCCTCTGCTCTGGCATCAGGAGCTGGGGAGGAACCCCGGGCAAGGGCCTGCAGTGACAGGGCACAGGGAATGGGAGATGTGGGGCAGTATTGGCAGGGAATCCTTGCCTGTGAGGTGGGTGAGGCACTGGGGTGGAATTCCCAGAGCAGCTGTGGCTGCCCCTGGTTCCTGGAAGTGCCCAAGGCCGGGCTGGACAGGGCTGGGAGCAGCCTGGGCTGGTGGCAGTCCCTGGCTGTGGTCCCAAACACACCCCTGAGCTCCCCACAACCATTCCCCTGGGTGATCCAGTCCCTGGGCTGGTGCTGGTGATTCCCATCCTGCCCTGCTTCCCCTGGGAGCTGGAACTGTGGAATTCTCCCCGTCCCTCTCCACAGGTGGTGGATTACTACAAGGAGGCCTGCCGGGCCCTGGAGAACTCAGAGACAGCCTCGCTGCTGGGCAAGATCCAGAAGGACTGGAAGAAGCTGGTCCAAATGAAAATCTATTATTTTGCTGCCGTGGCCCACGTGAGTGAGGGGCAGCTGGGGCTGGGGCAGCCTGTGCTCCCATCCCGCCTCGGGGTGCTCCTGGCTGCTCCCTGGGGATTTCCTCCCCTGTCAAAGCTCTCCCTGCAGTTACAGAGCTCTGACCCCAGTTTTCTTCCAGCTGCACATGGGGAAGCAGGCCGAGGAGCAGCAGAAGTTTGGGGAGAGGGTAAGTGGGGCCGTGTCACCCCATTCCATCCTGTCCTGGCAGAGGCTGGGTACCCACAGCCGTGTGCTGCCAGGCTGGGTGCTCTGGCAGGGCTGTGGGCAGCTCTGGGCCTGGTGCCCCGTGCCAGCCCCAGCCCCCTCTCCCGCAGGTCATCTACTTCCAGAGCGCCCTGGACAAGCTCAACGAAGCCATCAAGCTGGCCAAGGTGGGTCCTGCCCTCCCTCTGGGCCGGGGCTGCCAGGCTGAGGAGCAGGACTGGGTGGCTTCAGGGGCTCCCCAGGCCTCTCTGATCCCGTTGGGCTGCTTGGACAGTGATTCCCACCCTCACCCCCACAGGGCCAGCCCGAAACCGTGCAGGAAGCTCTGAGGTTCACCATGGATGTCATTGGTGGGAAGTGAGTCTGGGGCACCCCAGGGAGTCTCCATCCTTTTCTGGGAGTTGGGAATGTTGGTGGGCAGGGAGCCTGGGGAGCGTTCCTGGTGTCCTGACGTGCAGAGCCCAGCACTGCCCCAGGCCCTGGGGAGGGAGGGAGGATGGATGGGGAATGGATGGGGAATGGATGGGGGATGGGGGATGGATGGATGGATGGATGGAGGGAGGATGGATGGGGAATGGATGGGGAATGGATGGGGAATGGATGGGGAATGGATGGGGAATGGATGGGGAATGGATGGGGAATGGATGGGGAATGGATGGGGAATGGATGGGGAATGGATGGGGAATGGATGGGGAATGGATGGGGAATGGATGGGGAATGGATGGGGAATGGATGGGGAATGGATGGGGAATGGATGGGGAATGGATGGGGAATGGATGGGGAATGGATGGGGAATGGATGGGGAATGGATGGGGAATGGATGGGGAATGGATGGGGAATGGATGGGGAATGGATGGGGAATGGATGGGGAATGGATGGGGAATGGATGGGGAATGGATGGGGAATGGATGGGGAATGGATGGGGAATGGATGGGGAATGGATGGGGAATGGATGGGGAATGGATGGGGAATGGATGGGGAATGGATGGGGAATGGATGGGGAATGGATGGGGAATGGATGGGGAATGGATGGGGAATGGATGGGGAATGGATGGGGAATGGATGGGGAATGGATGGGGAATGGATGGGGAATGGATGGGGAATGGATGGGGAATGGATGGGGAATGGATGGGGAATGGATGGGGAATGGATGGGGAATGGATGGGGAATGGATGGGGAATGGATGGGGAATGGATGGGGAATGGATGGGGAATGGATGGGGAATGGATGGGGAATGGATGGGGAATGGATGGGGAATGGATGGGGAATGGATGGGGAATGGATGGGGAATGGATGGGGAATGGATGGGGAATGGATGGGGAATGGATGGGGAATGGATGGGGAATGGATGGGGAATGGATGGGGAATGGATGGGGAATGGATGGGGAATGGATGGGGGATGGATGGTTGGATAGATGGATGGATGGATGGATGGCTGGCTAGCTGCTGTAGGAATTGCTGGAGCAATCCCAGGAGAGCCAGGGTGGCTGAGCCCATTGGGAGCAAGCTTAGGGAGCCAGGAATGCCACCTGCTCCTTCTCTCCCAGCATCACTTCCCATTTCCAGGTACAATTCAGCCAAAAAGGACAACGACTTCATCTACCACGAGGCCGTGCCTGCGCTGGACACTCTGCAGTCTGTCAAAGGTCAGGGGGCCTCGGGGCCCCTGGGGACAGGGACCTGCTGGGACTGAGGGCACAGCCCTTCGGGAGCGGTGCCAGCCCGGGCTGTGTCCCTCAGGTGCCCCCTTGGTGAAGGCTCTGCCCGTGAACCCCACGGACCCCGCGGTCACCGGCCCTGACATCTTTGCCAAGCTGGTGCCCATGGCTGCCCACGAGGCCTCGTCCCTGTACAGGTGTGTCCTGGTCAGCCCTGGTCAGTGTGTCCTGGTCAGCCTGGTCAGTGTGTCCTGGTCAGCCTGGTCAGTGTGTCCTGGTCAGCCCTGGTCAGTGTGTCCTGGTCAGCCCTGGTCAGTGTGTCCTGGTCAGTGTGTCCTGGTCAGCCCTGGTCAGTGTGTCCCGGTCAGCCCTGGTCAGTGTGTCCTGGTCAGCCCTGGTCAGTGTGTCCTGGTCAGCCCTGGTCAGTGTGTCCTGGTCAGTGTGGCCTGGTGAGCCCTGGTCAGTGTGTCCCGGTCAGCCCTGGTCAGTGTGTCCTGGTCAGTGTGTCCTGGTCAGCCCTGGTCAGTGTGTCCCGGTCAGCCCTGGTCAGTGTGTCCTGGTCAGCCCTGGTCAGTGTGTCCTGGTGGTCAGCCCTGGTCAGTGTGTCCCGGTCAGCCCTGGTCAGTGGGTCCTGGTCAGTGTGTCCTGGTCAGCCCTGGTCAGTGTGTCCCGGTCAGCCCTGGTCAGTGTGTCCTGGTCAGCCCTGGTCAGTGTGTCCGGGCTGCAGCCAGGGCAGGGCGGGGTGGCATGGCTGGAGCTGGGGCTGTGGAGCTGCTGGGTGTTTCCCTGCCTCACGGACTGTTCTGCTCTGTGCTCCCAGCGAGGAAAAGGCCAAACTGCTGCGGGATGTGATGGCCAAGATCGAAGCCAAGAACGAAGTGCTGGAGTACGTGAGGGGCCCGGCCCTTCCATCCCACGGTGACCCAGTGCTCCCGAGCCTCTGGAGGGGGCACAGTGCCACCCCTCAGGGGCCCCTCTGTGTCCCACAGCCAGTTCATGGACTCCATGCAGCTGGACCCCGAGACCGTGGACAACCTGGACATGTACAACCACATCCCGCCCGTGCTGATGGAGAAATGCGCCGCGCTCAGCGTGCGCCCCGACACCGTGCGCAACCTCGTGCAGTCCATGCAGGGTGAGGGCTGGGGGCTGGGGCTGCTCCCTGCCTGGGGCTGGGGCCCTGGGGCTGGCACTGCTCCCTGCCTGGGGCTGGCACTGCTCCCTGCCCAGGACTGAGGGTCCTGGGGCCAGCATTATTCCCAAGGTGTTGGGAGTGTTCTCACCGATGGCTGGTTCTGTACTGGCATCCATTCCTGAATCCCAAAGCATTTTCCCTGTGGGAGGGGAGGGGGGATGACCCCAAGGGCATGGGTGCCCAGGAGCCCAGCACCCAACGCCTGGGCTGCCGTGTCCCTGCCTGGCCCCAGGCCTGGGGCAGGCAGGAGGTGTCCCCACGCCCACCAGCCCCCCGTGCCCCCGCAGTGCTCTCGGGGGTCTTCACCGACGTGGAGGCGTCGCTGAAGGAGATCCGGGACCTGCTGGAGGAGGACGAGGCACAGGAGAGGAAGCTGCAGGAGCTGCTGGGGAGGGTCCCGCCGGCCCCAGCGTCCCCCCCGGGGCTGGCCGAGGTGAGCAAGGAGTGCTCCAAGTACCTGGAGCTGCACGAGAAGGCGAGCTTCACCAACACCGAGCTGCACCGCGCCATGAACCTGCACCTGGGCAACCTGCGGCTGCTGGGCGGGCCCCTGGAGCAGGTGCGGGCTGCACTGCCCGCCCCCGCGCTCTCCGAGGGTGAGTCCTGCCCGGGGGGAGGCAGGGCTGTGCCCCTTGAGTGCCCCTGGGCTGGGGGAGGCAGGGCTGTGCCCCTTGTGTGCCCCCGGGGATGGGCAGTGCCCCTGGGCTGGGGGAGGCAGGGCTGTCCCTCGCCGTGTCCCCATGTGTCACCTGGCACTGGCACGGTCTGTGTTAGTGCAGGAATGAACAAAGTGGGCGCTGTTTGGGGACAGGGGGGACAGGGGCTGTCCTGACAGACCCCAGCCCGCGGGTTCCCGGGTTCCTCGGGACCAGCCCCGCCCCTGAGCCCGCCCCACCCCCAGACGACAAACAGGTGCTGCAGAACCTGAAGCGGATCCTGGCCAAGGTGCAGGAGATGCGGGACCAGCGCGTGTCCCTGGAGCAGCAGCTGCGGGAGATGATCCAGAAGGATGACATCACCACCTCGCTGGTCACCACCGACCGCTCCGAGATGAAGGTGGGCCTGGGGCCACCCCCGCGTCCCCCTGGGCCCGCTCTGCCCCGCAGCCCCCCGAGCCTCCCGTGTCCCCGCAGAAGCTCTTTGAGGAGCAGCTGAAGAAGTACGACCAGCTCAAGGTGTACCTGGAGCAGAACCTGGCTGCCCAGGAGAACGTGCTCAAGGCCCTGACAGACGCCAACGTCAAATACGCGGCCGTGCGCAAGGCCCTGGCCGAGGTGGAGCACAAGTGAGTGAGGAGGGGGCTCGGTGCCCAGGAACAGCCCTCCCACCCCGGTATGGGTGTGGGGCCACCACCAGCTTCTGTCCTGCCCCACTGCTGGGCTGTGGTGGCTTTGTCCTGTCCCCGAGGGTCCCACAGGTGCCTGGAGCTGGGTGCCCACCTTTACCCTGGCACTGCGTCCTGCTGAGCCCCTCCGTGCCCTGTCCCAGGTGGAACACGACGGTGCAGACCCTGGTGGCCTCCTACGAGGCCTATGAGGACCTGATGAAGAAGTCCCAGGAGGGGAAGGATTTCTACACGGACCTGGAGGGGAAGGCAGCCAAGCTGCTGGAGCGGGCGCGGGCCGCGTGCCAGGCCAGCGAGGCACACCGGCAGCAGCTGCTGGAGAGGTGGGTGGGCAGCGAGACCCCCGGGGTCAGAAGGGCCTGGGGAGCTGTGGGTGGTGGTCTGGGGGCAGGGGGAGGCTCCTGGTGCCCGTGGGGGGCAGCACCCCCCCTCACTGAGCCCCCTGCCCCCCAGGGAGCTGAAGAAGCAGCCGCCCCCCCGGCCCACGGCCCCCAAGCCCCCCCTGCAGAAGAAGCCGCTGGACGAGGCCGGGGGCCCCGAGGCCGCCGAGCTGGGCTCGCTGGAGCTGCCGGAGGAGCTGCGGAGCCTCCCCCCGGAGCTGCTACCCGGGCCCCTGGGCACACTGCCCGCCCTGCCCGGGGGGCTGCGGCCCGCCGAGCCCTACGTGCTGCCGGGGGGGGCGGCCAGCGCCCCGCTGCCCCCCCTGGCCCCCGCCGCCCCCTTCCCGGGGCACTACCGCCTGCCCGGGCCCTTCCCTGCCCCCGCGGGGCTCCCGGGGCAGCTCCTTGCGCCCGCCCGTGCCGGGGCTGGGCGGCCACGAGCCCCCGGGCACCCGCCCGGCCACCACCACGGTGGACAGCGTCCAGGCGCCCATCTCCAGCTGCTCCGTGCCCCCCCGGGCACCCGCGGGCCCCTTCCTGCCCCCCCAGCGCCCGGGGGTGCCCCCAGCACCCTTCCCCTACCCCGCGGGGGGGGTGCAGCCCTTCGGGGCGCCCGCTCAGGCCGCCTTCCCCCCGGCACAGCCCCCGCCCGCCTTCGCCCAGGGCCCGCAGCAGTTCCCCGCGGGTCCCTTCCTGCCCCCGGGCCGAGCCCAGGCGCCCCTGCCCTTCCAGCAGCCGCCCCGGGTCCCGCTGGCGCAGTTCCCGCAGCAGCAGCAGCGCTTCACGGCTCCCGGGGCCCCGCTGCCGCCCCAGCTGTACCCGCTGCCGGGGCAGGACCCGCTGCCCCCCGCGGGGCTCGCCCCGCACCCGGGGGCCGTGCCCTTCCCCAGGACCCCCGCGCAGAGCGGCCCCCCGGCGCTGGGCGGGCTGCCCCCCGTGTCCCCCGCCCTGCCCTTCTGCCCCAGCCCGGCTCCCCCCGGCGCCCCGCTGCCCCCGGGCACCATGGCCCTGGGTCCGGGCTCATCGAGGCCGACCCGTACGCGGAGCCCGAGCGCGTGCGGCGGCTGCTGGCGGAGCTGGAGCGGTTCCGCGGCCTGGCCGAGCGGCTGGAGCGGCCCGCGCCCGGCGGCGGCTCCGAGCTGGACGCGCTCTGGAAGGAGCTGCAGGAGGCGCAGGAGCGCGACGCCCGGCAGCGCTCCATCGCCATCGCCCGCTGCTACTCCATGAAGAACCGGCACCAGGACATCATGCCCTACGACCGCAACCGCGTCGTGCTGCGCTCGGGCAAGGACGACTACATCAACGCCAGCCGCGTGGAGGACCTGTCCCCGTACTGCCCCGCGCTCATCGCCACGCAGGCCCCGCTGCTCGGCACCGCCGCCGACTTCTGGCTCATGATCTACGAGCAGAAGGTGTCCGTGGTCGTCATGCTGGTGTCCGAGCAGGAGCTGGACAAGGTGCGTCCCGTCCCGGGGGCGGGGGGTCCCGGGGGTGGCACGCCCTGCCCGGTGCCCCCTGCGGGGCCCGAGGCTCCCGGGCTGGCTGACGGCCCGTCCCGCGGCAGAAGGTGCTCCGGTACTTCCCGTCGGAGCGGGGCCAGCCCGTGGCGCACGGGCCCCTGAGCGTGGTGCTGACCAGCCTGCGGGTGACCCCCACGCACGTGGAGCGGATGCTGACGCTGCAGTACCGGGACCAGAGCCTCAAGCGCACCGTGGCGCACCTCCAGTTCACCTCCTGGCCTGAGCTGTACGCGGGGGCACAAAGGGGGGCTCGGGGGGCCCTGATCTGCGGTGGGGGCAGTTCTGGGACCTCGGCTCCGGGGCTGGGGAGGGGGTTTGGGGGGCCTGAGTGCAGAGCCCCCCCAGCGAGCGTGTGTCCCCCACGCCAGGGGCCTGCCCGACAGCAAGGGGAGCCTGCTGCGCTTCATCCAGGAGGTGCACGGCCACTACCTGCACCAGCGGCCGCTGCACACGCCGGTGGTGGTGCACTGCAGGTGAGCCGGCCGGGGCTCCCGGGGCGGGCCGGGGCGGCTCCCGGTGCTCCGCCGGTCCGTCACGGCTCGGGGCTGTCCCCGCAGCTCCGGCGTGGGTCGCACCGGCGCCTTCTGCCTGCTGTACGCCGCCGTGCAGGAGCTGGAGGCCGGGAACGGCATCCCGGACCTGGCGCAGCTGGTGAGGCGGATGCGGCAGCAGCGCAAGCACATGCTGCAGGAGAAGGTACCGCGGGCGGGCGGGGGGCTGCAGCCGCGGGGGCGGGGGGCTGCACACCCCCGGGCCTCGCCGTGTCCCCCCGGGCCTCACCGTGTCCCCTCCCCGCAGCTGCACCTCAAGTTCTGCTTCGAGGCCGTGCTGCTCCACGCCGAGCAGCTGCTGCTGCGCCACGGCGTGGGCGGCCCCAGCCTGGCCAAGCCCCCCAGCAGCACCTCCCCCAAGGTGGGTGTCGGGCCGGGCCGGGGGGCTCTGGGGAGCTCTGCCGGGGCTCACGGGGCCGCTCTCCCCCAGCTGTACTTCCAGCAGGACCCGCAGGACCTGGTGCTGGGGGGGGACGTGCCCATCAGCTCCATCCAGGCCACCATCGCCAAGCTCAGCATCAAAGCGGGGGGGCCCGGCGCCGAGTCCGGCGAGGGCTGGGGGGCGGACCCCGGCCCCGCTCCCGACCCCGTGGAGCCCGAGGCGCCGCCGGCCGTCCCCGACGGCCTCGTGGATGGTGTCGGTGCCCCCGAGCCCCCCGCCCCGGGGCCGCCCCTCCCCGAGGCGCCGGGTGACACAGAGAGCAGCAACCACGTCGGGGGGGAGAGCCCCGAGGGGCCGGGGGCGCCGGCAGAGCCCCCCGCTGCCCCCCCTGCCGCCTCCTCCTCGTCCCTGGAGCTGCTGGCCTCGCTGACGCCCGAGGCCTTCAGCCTGGACGCGTCCCTCAAGGGCAAGCAGCGCATGAACAAGCAGAACTTCCTGCAGGCACAGCCGGGCGAGGGGCTGCGGGCGCCCCGGCCCAGCGACGACCCCCTCAGCATGCTCGACCCCCTCTGGACCCTCAACAAGGCGTGAGGGGGGCGGGGGCCCCCCGGCCCCCAGCCCCGCTTTGTTTGACTCCAGGTAGAACTGACTTTTTCAGCTCTTTGCTACTAAAATAAAGCGAGTTTATCTGCAGGGCCGCGTGCTGCCGGGCAGGGGGGCGGAGCGGGCTCGGGTTAGTTCCGTTTAATGGATGTTCCGCACACGTTATAAAACACGATCGGTACAAAAAGCGTCCCCTGTACAGCACAAAGGTACAGCTGCGCCAAGGCCACCCGCGGGGTGGGCCGGCTCCCGGGGTCCCCCTGCCCCGGGCCGCCGCCGCCTCTACAATCACCGGGGGTCGAGAACGGAGCCAGGGCGGCTCGGGGCACGGGCCGGGGCCGGTCCGAGCGGGGCCCGTGCCCGGGGGAGCCCCGGCTGCCGCCCCGGGCCCCTCCCCAGCGCCTGCAGGAGGGGGGCGAGAGCTCCGCCCGCTCCCAACCTGAGAAAAGCCTCCTCTGGCCCCGCAGCGGGAGGAGGAGGAAGGGGAGGAGGAGGAGGAAGGTGCTATTGCTGCAGGAGGGAGCCGGGCGGGGCAGCTGTGCCAGGGCACGGCCAGGGCAGCGCTGCCGGGGCTGGGCCCCGCGCCCCCTGCCCCAATAAATAACTATTTACAGCGTATAAATAAATAGAGTGGGGGCAGCTGCGGCCCCGGGCGGGCTCGGGCGGGGCCCTGCCGCGCCCTAAGGCACGAGGGGGCCGAGCCGCGCCCGGGACGGGCCGGTCCCGCTCCCGGTCCTGGTCCGGTTCTCTCCCGGCTGCCACCCGGGGCTGTTCCGTGTCCTGGGGCGGTGCTGGGCCGGCACAGCCGCCGCTGGGTGTCCGGCCTGGGAGCCACCCCGCTGTCCCCGCCCTGCCCCGTGTCCGTGTGCACGGTGGCGCTGCCGGGGCTCCCCGAGGTGCCGGACCGGGGAGAGCAGAGGGGGGCGGCCCCACCCCGCCCGGTGGCACGGATGGAGCACGGAGCAGGGCCCGGTCCCTCTCCGGCACAGCCCAGCCCCGCCGGCCCCTCGTGCTGCTCAGTCCAACTTCTCCAGCACCGAGGGCACGTAGACCAGGCTGAGCTCGCTGCCGAAGTTGCAGACGATGGCGGCGTTCTCCAGCACCAGGATCTGCCGCGCCGGCTGCGACTCGTTGCTCTTGCCCAGGTAGACGGTCTGCAGCAGGTCCCCGTAGCCGATGTCCCAGAAGGACACGCAGCCCTGGCCCCCTGTCACCAGCAGGTTGTCGGAGATGACGCCCAGGCTGGCGCCGCAGCCCAGCTCCTGCGGGACAGAGGGCGGGGAGCTGAGCCGGGGCTGCGGGGGCACGGCCCGCTGCCACACCCGGCCCGGGCGGGGCCTCTGAGTGTCCCGGGGAGGCTCAGATGGAACCCGGCCTCCTCGGCCTCCAAACACAGCAGGGTCTGGAGGGGGCCTGGAAAACCCAGGAGGACCCCTAAGGGTGTGAGGTGGAGCTGGGATAAAGGGGCTCAGCCTGGAGAAAAGGAGGCTCAGGGGTCCAGGTGTCCTCACAAGGGGGGACCTTGTGGCTCTGCACAGCTCCTGCCAGGAGGGGACAGCCAGGGGGTTGGGCTGTGCTCCAGGGAACAGGGACAGGAGCAGAGGGAACGGCCTCAGGCTGGGCCAGGGCAGCTCAGGGTGGACACAGCAGGAATTTCCCCATGGAAAGGGTGATTAGACTTTGGAAGGGGCTGCCCGGGGTAGCACAGCAGCCTCCTTCCCTGGAAGGATTTAAAGCCCTGTGGATGTGGCACCTGGGGACAGGATCTGTGCTGGCCTTGGCAGCACGGGGTGTGGCTGCACTCCGTGGTCTCCGAGGGTTTTCCAACCCCATTAATTCCGGTTTCCCGTTAAGCCCCCCAGCTGCCCCCAGGCCCCACCTGCTGGATGGAGTAGAGCTTGATGCCCGAGCTGCGGTCCCAGATGCTGATGACGTCGTCCAGGCCGCTGCTGATGACGCAGGACGTGGTGCAGGTCAGCGAGGTGACGTCCCCGCGGTGGGCGAACATGTGGCTGACACGGCTGCCCGTCAGCACGTCCCACAGGCAGATGGCCCCGTCCTGGCCCCCGCTGGCCAGCACCATGGTCTGTGGGGCACGGGGCCACGTCAGGGCCAGGGCACGCGCAGGAGGTGAGCCAGCGTGGGCTGCACCCCTGCACTGCCAGCCCGGGGCCTCCCTGCCTGTTCCTGAGCTTGAGCAGGCTGGGGGAACAGAGCCCTGGGCCCCAGGAGCCCCAGAGGCACCTGAGGTCAGGGGGTGGGGGGTGACAGTGGTCATGGGGTACCTGGGGTGGGGGAGCACACTGGGGACTCCCACTCCTCCCAGGGACTGGGGGCAGAGCCTCCCTGGGGACCCAGACCCCATTTCAGGCCTGCTCAGCCCCAGCTGGCAGTGCAGGAACAGGGATTCCCTGCTCCAGAAGGACAGAGCAGCAGGAGATCTCCAGGGGAAGACTGCTGAGCTCACAGTGAACTGGGGGAAAACTCTGCCTCGGCCAGAGAGAGATGGAGGGAGCCAGGTGAGTGCCTCCAGCTGAGCCACTGGCTCGGGGATGGGACCAGGGATGGGCTGAGGTGTGATCTCAAGGGGGGGCTCAGGTACCAGCCCCGTGAGGAGGCAGGTGGGGCCCAGGCCCAGCAGCCCCCGTACCTGGTCGATGTACACGGCAGTGATGGCTCCCGAGTGGCCCTGCAGGGTGAACAGGCAGCACGAGTCCTCCAGCCGGAACACCTGGGGCAGGAGAGGCCCAGTGAGGCTCGGGGTGTGCCACCCGAGCTCCCCACGGCACAGCAGGGCACCCTGGTCCCGCTGTGGCACAGCCAGAGCCCTCAGCAGGGCCAGGGGCACGGGGTGCTGCAGGGCAGGGCCAGGTCACGGCTGGGGGCAGTGCCAGGGTGGTCACAGGGCAGTGACTGCACAGCTGAAGGGGAAGGGGACACCCCAGAACCTGGGTCTGCCACTCAGGTGTGTCACAGCAGCCTCATGGAATGCTCCAGGCTGGGGTACAGGGGCTGGGAACATCCTGGGGTGCTGCTGGACGTGACCAGCTGTGCCCAGGTGGGAAACAGGCCAACAGCACCTGCATTGTGTCAAAACCAGTGTGGCCACAAGGCCTGGGAAGGGACTGTCCCCTGTGCTGGCCCTGCTGAGGGGTCTCACATCCTGGGGGCTGCTTTGGGTCCCCCCCAACAGGAAGACCTGAAGGGGCTGGAGCTTGTCCAGGGAATGGAGCTGGGAAGGGAATGGAGCCCCAGGAGGGGCTGAGGGAGCTGGGAAGGGGCTGAGCCTGGAGAAAAGGGGGCTCAGGGGGGACCTTGTGGCTCTGCACAGCTCCTGCCAGGAGGGGACAGCCGGGGGGTCGGGCTGTGCTCCAGGGAACAGGGACAGGAGGAGAGGGAAGGTTTAGGTTGGCTATTGGGAAAGCTCCTCCATGGAAAGGGCGGTCAGGCATTGGAAGGGGCTGCCAGGGCACTGGTGGATTCCCCATCCCTGAATGGATTTAAAAGCCACGTGGATGTGGCACTTGGGGACATGGGTTAGTGGTGGCCTTGCAGTGCTGGGGACTGACTGGACTTGACAGTCGTGAAGAGCTGTCCCCACCTCAGTGATTCCACAATTCTGACATCACCCATTCCCGAGGGACTCAGCTCAGGGTGACGCTCTGGGCTCTGTCCTTTGACTCCTCGCTGAGCAGACCCCAGGGTCCCCCCGGTGCCCGCTCACCGCAGGGTGTGCTCGTGGCTGAGCAGACCCCCGAGCCCCCCGGTGCCCGCTCACCTGCAGGGTGTGCTCGTGGCTGAGCAGCCCCCCGTGCCCTCCCTGGTGCCCGCTCACCGCAGGCTGTGCTCCTGGCTGAGCCCCCTGTGCCCCCCAGTGCCCGCTCACCCGCAGGGTGTGGTCCTGGCTGAGCTGCCCCCCGTGCCCTCCCTGGTGCCCGCTCACCCGCAGGGTGTGGTCCTGGCTGAGCTGCCCCCCGTGCCCTCCCTGGTGCCCGCTCACCCGCAGGGTGTGGTCCTGGCTGAGCCCCCCGTGCCCTCCCCGGTGCCCACTGACCCGCAGGGTGTGCTCCTGGCAGAGCTGCCCCCGGTGCCCCCGAGTGCCCCCAGCCGCAGGGTGTGCTCCTGGCTGAGCCCCCCGTGCCCTCCCCGGTGCCCACTGACCCGCAGGGTGTGCTCCTGGCAGAGCTGCCCCCGGTGCCCCCGAGTGCCCCCAGTGCCCGCTCACCGCAGGGTGTGCTCGTGGCTGAGCAGCCCCCCGTGCCCTCCCTGGTGCCCGCTCACCGCAGGCTGTGCTCCTGGCTGAGCCCCCTGTGCCCCCCAGTGCCCGCTCACCCGCAGGGTGTGGTCCTGGCTGAGCTGCCCCCCGTGCCCTCCCTGGTGCCCGCTCACCGCAGGCTGTGCTCCTGGCTGAGCCCCCTGTGCCCCCCAGTGCCCGCTCACCGCAGGGTGTGCTCCTGGCGGAGCTGCCCCCGGTGCCCCCGAGCCCCCCAGTGCCCGCTCACCCGCAGGGTGTGGTCCTGGCTGCCGGTGACCAGGCGGCCGGCGGCGGCCCTGAGCGCGGTGATGGGTTTGTGGTGGGCGCAGGCCACGCTGTGCGTCAGCCGGCAGCGCAGCGCGGCCCCGCGGCACAGCTCCGCTCACCCGTAGGGTGTGCTCCTGGCTGAGCAGACCCCCGTGCCCTCCCTGGTGCCCGCGGTGCCCGCTCACCCGCAGGGTGTGGTCCTGGCTGCCGGTGACCAGGCGGCCGGCGGCGGCCCTGAGCGCGGTGATGGGTTTGTGGTGGGCGCAGGCCACGCTGTGCGTCAGCCGGCAGCGCAGCGCGGCCCCGCGGCACAGCTCCGGCGACGGCGGCACGCTGCTCCTGCCCGGGGCTCCTGCGGGCAGCACGGGGCTCAGCTGGGCACGGCCCCTCGGGGCTCAGCTGGGCACGGCCCCGCGGGGCTCAGCTGGGCACGGCCCCTCGGTGTGCCACCGCGGGGCTCTGGGGAACGGCTCTGGGGAACTGGGGCGTGGGACTGCAGCTAAGGACGGCTGCAGGGGGGCCTCCAGGGGCAGGGAATTCCACACTGCTTTGGGGTGGAAGGGCCCTCAAAGCCCATCCAGTCCCACACCCACCTGCCAGGGGCAGGGGCACCTCCCACCATCCCAGGGGCAGGGACACCTCCCACCATCCCAGGGGCAGGGACACTTTCCACCATCCCAGGGGCAGGGACACTTTCTGCTGTCCCCAGTTTCTCCTGGGATAGCCCCCTCCAGCCCAGCCTTGGATGGGACAGCCACAGCTTCTCCAGGAAATTCATCCCAGTGCCTCGCCACTCTCTCAGGGAGGAATCTCTCCCCAGTATCCCATCTGAATCATCCCCTCTATTCTCTCCAGGAGCAAAGGAACCCCCTGCTCTAACCAGGCACCCCACGGGCCCCTCTGGGCTGGGCTGTGGCTGTGCCAAGGGCTCGGGCTGTTCCCAGGATGGGAGCAGTGAGACAGAGAGAGAGAAGTGGCAGGAGCAAAGGGCAGCATGGGATGGTGTCTGAGCACAGGGAGCTCCCTCAGCTGGGCACAGCTCCGGGTGCTTCTGAGCAGGCACCACCAGAGCTGAAGGGGGCGTGAGGAAGACTCAGCTGCGAGGAGGAAGAGGGAGGAGGGGAAGGCAGGAGCCCAGGGCAGTGCACTGACATTCCAACACCGCTCACCTCGGAACTGCAGGTGGTTCAGGGACGTGTGTGTCTCCAGAGAGAAGAAATCCAAGGAGCCATTCAGCCGGGCAGCCACGATCCTGAAGGACAGACGTGGGGGCTGAGGGGGCCCTCCTCAATCCTGGACACCCCCAGGCCAAGCACAGACCAGCCACCCCTGGGAGGAGGCTGCAGAGCTGGGCTGGGAGACTGGACACAGCTCCAAATGGACTGGACAGTGGCAGTGCCTCTGAACAGCAGTGACCCAAAGGTGTCCCAGCCTGAAACCCTCTGGATATTCAGCTGCTGGCAAGGCTGAGGGCTGAAGAACTGGCTGCTGGAGCAGCCCTGGAGCCAGGAAAGCTGGTGGGAGGGGGATTCACAGAGGAGTAGGCTGGATGGGAGGTTGGACAGCAAGAAAAGGTGGCTGGGCACTGAATGGGCTCCCCTGGGAACAGTGACAGCTCCAGAGCTCAGGAGTGTCTGGAGAAAGCTCTCAGGCACAGGCTGGGGTTCTTGGGTGCCTTGGGCAGGGCCAGGGGTTGGACTCCATGATCCCTGGGGGCCCCTTCCAGCTCAGGATATTCCATGACACTGATTCCAAGGAAGAGCTGAGCCTCTGCTGCTGGGAGCTGCTGGGAAGGTTGGGGATCTGCCAGCACCTGCACAAGGAGTTACCTGTTGTTGAGGAAGACGAGGGCAGTGATGCCAGATTGTCCTTCATCATTGCTGCTGCGGAGGGTCCCCTCGATGGCATCCCACACCTGGGGGAGGAGGGGACACTGCAGTGACACTGGCCAGAGGGGCACTGGACACAGGGGGAACTGGGATCCTGAACAGCTCTGTGTGCTCTGCTCCCAACCCCGAGCTGAGTGAGCAGGTCACAGCCCCTGTGCCTGATTCCAGGCTGTGTGACCTCCTGCCTGCCATTGCTGCATCCCTGCTCCTGCTCTCCATCCTGTTACTGCATCCCTGCTCCTCATCTCCATCCTCCTGTTACTGTGTCCCTCTGCTCCTCCATCTCCACCTCTGTTACTGCATCCCTGCTCCCCACCGCCACATCCCTGTTACTATGTCCCTACTCATCTCCCCGTTACTGTGTCCCTGCTCCTCATCGCCACATCCCTGTTACTATGTCCCTACTCATCTCCCCGCTGTTACTACATCCCTGCTCCTCACTGCCACATCCCTGTTACTATGTCCCTACTCATCTCCCCGTTACTGTGTCCCTGCTCCTCATCGCCACATCCCTGTTACTATGTCCCTACTCATCTCCCCCTGTTACTGTGTCCCTGCTCCTCATCTCCATCTCCACCTCCCTGCTCCTGTAGCCCTGCTCCTCATCTCCACCTGTTACTGTGTCCCTACTCCTCATTTCCTCCTCTGTTACTGTGTCCCTCTTCCTCATCTCCACCTCCCTGCTACTCTGTCCCTGCTCCTCATCTCCATTTCTTGTTACTATGTCCCTGCTCATCTCCACCCTTTACTGTGTTCCTGCTCCTCATCTCATTCTCCTTGTTAGTGTCCCCACTCCACCTCTGCTCCTGTAGCCCTGCTCATCTCCATTCCCTGTTACTGTGTCCCTGCTCATCTCCACCCATTACTGTGTTCCTGCTCCTCATCTCATTCTCCTTGTTAGTGTCCCCACTCCACCTCTGCTCCTGTAGCCCTGCTCATCTCCATTCCATTACTGTGTCCCTGCTCCTCCTCACCACCTCCCTGCTACCTGTTTGTCATCTCCACCTGTTACTGTGTCCCTGTTCCTCATCTCCACCTCTGTTACTGCATCCCTGCTCCTCATCTCCATCTTCTTGTTACTATGTCCCTGCTCATCTCCACCTCTGTGACTGTGTCCCTGTTTGTCATCTCCACCTGTTTCTGTGTCCCTGCTCCTCATCTCCATCTCCACCTCCCTGCTCCTGTAGCCCTGCTCATCTCCACCTGTTACTGTGTTCCTGCTCCTCGTCTCCTCCTGTTACCGTGTCCCTGCTCCTCATCTCCATTCCCTGTTACTGTGTCCCTACTCCTCATCTCATTGTTGTTAGTGTCCCCACTCCACCTCTGCTCCTGTATCCCTGCTCATCTCCACCTCTGTTACTGTGCCCCTGCTCCTCATCTCCATTCCCTGTTACTGTGTCCCTACTCCTCATCTCATTGTTGTTAGTGTCCCCACTCCACCTCTGCTCCTGTATCCCTGCTCCTCTCCACCTCTGTGTCCCTGCTCCTCATCTCCAATTCCCTGTTCCGTGTCCCTGCTCCTCATCGCCACCTCCCTGCTACTGTCCCTGCTCATCTCCACCCGTTACTGTGTTCCTGTTCCTCACCTCCATCTCCACCTCTGTGACTGTGTCCCTGCTCATCTCCATTCCCTGTTACTGTGTCCCAGCTCCTCACCTCCACCTCTGCCCCTGTGTCCCCTCTCCTGACCTCCTCCTTCCCCTAGCTGTGTCCCTGCTCCTCACCTCCAGCTTCCCATTACTCCTGCCAGCCACGATCAGGTTCCCCTGCAGCTCCAGGCTCCAGATGGAGCTCTCCAGGTCCCCTGCCCAGGACGGCGGGGCGGGGGGTTTGTCGCAGCCCGCGCAGGGCTCGTCCCCGAGGCCGTCGCCGTCGGCCGGGCCGGGGCCATGCGGGGCCGGCAGCCCCGGGAGGGCGCTGCTCCTGCAGCCGGGGCCGCCGTGCTCCTCGTACACCTTCCCCACCAGGCTGCTGAAGTCGTATCCCGAGCCCTTGTGGCGAGCGCCCACGGCCCGCAGCCGCGGCTCCGACTCGGCCGCCTTGGCGTGCTCCAGGAAGTTGGTGTCGATGAGGGAGGTGAGGTCGGGCTGGTCACAGAACAGGGGGGGCTGCGGGGGCCCCAGCAGCCGCTTCAGCTGGTGGCTGCTCTCAAAGGAGTCCTCCAGCCCGTTCTTGCCCTCCGGGCTGGGGTCCCAGCCCTCCTGGTAGTCGAAGATGCCGCTGCTGTCCCTGCGCAGCCTGGAGGGAGGACAAAGCTCAGCGCCGGGGCTGCGGGCTGTGGGGGAGCAGGGCTGCGGGGGAGCAGGGCTGCGGGGGAGCAGGGCTGTGGGGACACGGGGACACGGGCAGGCCGTACCTGGGCTTGGGGATGACGGTGAGGCAGTCGCCCGTCTGCGCGTCCCACACGCGGATCTGCCCCACCAGGCAGCAGCTCACCAGCAGCATCCCGTCGCTGGCCAGGCACTCGATGTCCTGCGGGGGAGGAAGGAAGGCACAGCTCAGTGGGGCACCACCGGGGCCTCTGGATCCTGAACACAGCCCGGTGTGGGGGCACAACTGCAGGGATGATGGATTTGGTGTCAAAACTGGCTGGGTTAGCAACTGAGGCACAGACATCCATGGAAGGGTCTGAGGCCAGGCTGGACAGGGCTTGTGGAAGGTGTCCCTGCCATGGCAGGGATGGCACTGGATGAGTTTCAAGGTCTCTTTCAACCCAAACCACTCTGGGATTCCAGGATCTCTGCCCAGAGACCTCAGTGTGCACTGGACTGCTGCAAATTCAATTCCATCTGTCTTGCCTTCCCTAAAGAGTTCCGTCCCAGTCTGAAGGCAGGATCAGGAGCAGACACAGCTTTCCTGGCAGACACAGCCTAGCACTGCAAACTCCTCTGTCTGAATGCCAAGAGCTTTGTTTCATCTCAGAACAGGAAGAATCCCAGACTCATTCTAGCTGGAAAAGCCCTCCCAGACCACGGAGTCACACCTGTGACTGATCCCCATCCCATCACCCAGCCCAGGGCACCAGTGCCACATGCAGGGCAGCGAGTGCCACATCCAGAGCTCCGAGTGCCACATCCAGAGTGCCACGTCCAGGGCACCAGTGCCACATCCAGGGCCACCAGTGCCACACCCAGCTGTCCCCTGGAGCTCAGCAATGTGCAGGTATCCCAGCAAAGCAGGGAACGGGAGCAGAGGCGGTGATGGTGGGAACTGCAGCCAGGCAGCCCCAGGAGGAGCTGAGAGCGTGCTGCAGGAATTTCACGCCCCAATAACCTTTCCTTAGGTGCTGTTCCTCAGCTGGACGTACCATGAGGTGTCCCCTGAGGACCAGGGGCACGATCTCGGTCTCGGGGGGCGAGTAGCCGTAGTCGTCGCAGGGCAGGTCCCCGCGGCGGCGCCGGCCCGGCCCGTTCTGCCCGTAGTTCTTGGGGCACAGCACCCGGTACAGGCAGAACAGCAGCAGCACCAGCAAGATGCCTGACGCCAGCCCCAGAGCAGCCACCCTGCGGGAGACACACACCAGGCAAGGAGGTAAGAAAATAAACTCCAGTTTCTAGTCCACGGGTAGATTTGGGAAGTGTCGTGCCAGGATTACTCATGTGCCGGTCTGAATTTCTCAGCTGAGAAAGCTTGTCAACAAATTACAGAGGTTTGTTGGAAATTAAGGGGGGCTTAATGGGAAAATGACAATTTCCACACGATTTTGAGGCTTTTCAGTAAGGGAAGTAATGAGTAACTAAGATTTTAAGAAAACACCAGCTGGGGATGGGATAACAGTGTGTTCAGCACGTGCAGATTCAGGCAGGGGTTGTGAGCTGTTGTCTCCACAGAGATGGGAGCTCCTTGCACCAGAGTTTGATCTGACTCCAAATAAACCATTATCAAATTATATCCAGGTGGTGGCTGCCCTTGGATCCCTGGCAGTGCCCAAGGCTAGGTTGGACAGGGCTTGGAGCAGCCTGGGACAGTGGGAGGTGTCCCTGCCATGGCACAGAGTGGGACTGGATTAGTTTTAAGGTCCCTTTATGAAATCACATTTAAACCCCCATTCTGCCCTCGTCACCCTGTGACCAGCCCCACACTGCAGCAGGAGCCCATTCCTGCTCTCAGCTGAGGGGAGTCTGCCAGGATGCATCCACTTCCCTTTGCACTGGAGCACGCCGAGCCCTGGCAGCGAAGCTCCAGGAGCTTCCTCCCCTCCCAGCAGATCACAGCCCGAGGCAGCCCCAGCTGGGGCAGTTAGTTACTTGTAGAGGGTGACAGTTACTTGCAGAGGGTGACATTAGTTAGTTACTTGTACAGGGTGACAGTAGTTACTCACAGAGGGTGACATTAGTTACTTGTACAGGGTGACATCAGTTACTTGTACAGGGTGACATCAGTTACTTGTAGAGGGTGACATTAGTTAGTTACTTGTACAGGGTGACAGTAGTTACTCACAGAGGGTGACATTAGTTACTCGCAGAGGGGGACATCAGTTACTTGTAGAGGGGGACATCAGTTAGTTACTTGTACAGGGTGACAGTAGTTACTCACAGAGGGGGACATTAGTTACTTGTACAGGGGGACAGTAGTTACTCACAGAGGGGGACATTAGTTACTTGTACAGGGGGACAGTAGTTACTCACAGAGGGGGACATTAGTTACTTGTACAGGGGGACAGTAGTTACTCACAGAGGGGGACATTAGTTACTTGTACAGGGGGACAGTAGTTACTCACAGAGGGGGACATTAGTTACTTGTACAGGGGGACAGTAGTTACTCACAGAGGGGGACATTAGTTACTTGTACAGGGGGACAGTAGTTACTCACAGAGGGGGACATTAGTTACTTGTACAGGGGGACAGTAGTTACTCACAGAGGGGGACATTAGTTACTTGTACAGGGGGACAGTAGTTACTCACAGAGGGGGACATTAGTTACTTGTACAGGGGGACAGTAGTTACTCACAGAGGGGGACATTAGTTACTTGTACAGGGGGACAGTAGTTACTCACAGAGGGGGACATTAGTTACTTGTACAGGGGGACAGTAGTTACTCACAGAGGGGGACATTAGTTACTTGTACAGGGGGACAGTAGTTACTCACAGAGGGGGACATTAGTTACTTGTACAGGGGGACAGTAGTTACTCACAGAGGGGGACATTAGTTACTTGTACAGGGGGACAGTAGTTACTCACAGAGGGGGACATTAGTTACTTGTACAGGGGGACAGTAGTTACTCACAGAGGGGGACATTAGTTACTTGTACAGGGGGACAGTAGTTACTCACAGAGGGGGACATTAGTTACTTGTACAGGGGGACAGTAGTTACTCACAGAGGGGGACATTAGTTACTTGTACAGGGGGACAGTAGTTACTCACAGAGGGGGACATTAGTTACTTGTACAGGGGGACAGTAGTTACTCACAGAGGGGGACATTAGTTACTTGTACAGGGGGACAGTAGTTACTCACAGAGGGGGACATTAGTTACTTGTACAGGGGGACAGTAGTTACTCACAGAGGGGGACATTAGTTACTTGTACAGGGGGACAGTAGTTACTCACAGAGGGGGACATTAGTTACTTGTACAGGGGGACAGTAGTTACTCACAGAGGGGGACATTAGTTACTTGTACAGGGGGACAGTAGTTACTCACAGAGGGGGACATTAGTTACTTGTACAGGGGGACAGTAGTTACTCACAGAGGGGGACATTAGTTACTTGTACAGGGGGACAGTAGTTACTCACAGAGGGGGACATTAGTTACTTGTACAGGGGGACAGTAGTTACTCACAGAGGGGGACATTAGTTACTTGTACAGGGGGACAGTAGTTACTCACAGAGGGGGACATTAGTTACTTGTACAGGGGGACAGTAGTTACTCACAGAGGGGGACATTAGTTACTTGTACAGGGGGACAGTAGTTACTCACAGAGGGGGACATTAGTTACTTGTACAGGGGGACAGTAGTTACTCACAGAGGGGGACATTAGTTACTTGTACAGGGGGACAGTAGTTACTCACAGAGGGGGACATTAGTTACTTGTACAGGGGGACAGTAGTTACTCACAGAGGGGGACATTAGTTACTTGTACAGGGGGACAGTAGTTACTCACAGAGGGGGACATTAGTTACTTGTACAGGGTGACATCAGTTACTTGTACAGGGTGACATCAGTTAGTTACTTGTAGAGGGTGACGTCCTGGTGGCCGCGGGGCGGCTCCGGCTGCGGGGCCGTGCCCAGCAGGGGCTGCGAGCGCCGTGCCTCCTGCGGGTGCCGCAGCTCCAGCGCCTCCTGGGGCTTCAGGTACAGCGTCACAGGGATGGCTGGCAGGATGCTGATGTACCTGGGGGACAGGGCAACAGCTCAGCAGGGCACGAGGGCACAGGCACGGGGCCGCCACGGCGCTTTCAGTGCCTGACCTCAGCTGCTCTGAACTAAAGAGCTCCTTGGAAATACTCTCCTCCAAGTTATTCCCCAGGTTTAACCCCTCAAAGAGCCAACAGTGCAATGAAGTCTGATGAGATCAAGTGGATGCCATGAATTTGAGCCTGCTTTCCTGGGTGCTGCAGGCTGGGAGGTCTCACCAAGAAGCTCCTTCAGCTCAGCTGTCTCCTCCTCACGTGTACTACTTCCATCCCTTGCAGGTGATTGTATCAGAGCATTGTGGAATTACTGAGGCTGCAAAAGCCCTCTGACACCATCAGGTCTGACTGTTCCCCCTTGTCCCCAAACCCCACATCTGTAGGAATGTGCCCTCTGTTGATGGAGTGACCAAATTATTCTTTGTCTGCTTAAAAAAGCAAAAAGCTCAGAGGTTTCTCTCCTCAATTTGGTAAAAAGACACCTCATAGGACCTTTGGGACTTCACCTCAAACCTGGGGCTGCCAATTGGACAGAGGCCCAAAGGTCCCACCTAGGTAATTCAGCAGAAAAAGAAGAGAACAAAGGAAATAATCACTTTTGTAAAGTGTTGTAGCCCTTACCCCTAGCTCAGTTTTTTCTCTGTAAGAACTTTGTTATTTTACCTTTTATTAAACCCTTTTATATTTCCAGCACTAATATTTATACCATTCCAAGTAACAAAGCTGTCTTGGGTGTAATGGGCTCCTCTTAGAGCTCATAAGACCTGGCTCAAAGAGTGACACATTACACACCCACATGCCTTCTGAGCAGTTGTGCCAGGGCTGTACAACCCTTCAGGGGAAGGAATTTTCCCAATATTCACCATGAGCCTCCTCCAAGGAAAGCCTTGAGGCCATTCCTTCTCCTCCTGTCCCTGTTCCTGGGAGCACAGCCCGACCCCCCTGGCTGTCCCCTCCTGTCAGGAGTTGTGCAGAGCCACAAGGTCCCCCCTGAGCCTCCTCTTCTTGTTTTGCTAAGTTTAAAACTTCCAGGATCAAGAAGGACACAAGACACCAAGCACAAGCAGAGTGGAAGAACCCTGACTGCCAGAGGAACAGCCCTGGAGGGTTTGTGAGCTCTGCCCACCCCAGGGGACCTGCTCTGCAGCTCCTCCCACACACACCTGGAATGAGCCCCATGGAAGCAGGTTTTGTGAGCTGGGAGCATGAGGGACAGAGCAAGACAAACCCCCGGGGTCAGCTGCCAGCTCCCCGTGCCAGGGGCACGCCACGCCGGCCCACTTGCCTCTTGGCTAGGGTGATGTTGTAGTAGCTGAAGAGGGCTGGCCAGTGCCTGAAGGACAGCTTCCTCCAGATCTCCTCATCCTCCGCTCCCCAGGTGACCTGTGCCTCCGTTGTCCCCAGCTCCAGCTGCCCCCTGCCCTCAGGGCCCGGGGCCCAGCCGTGCTGCTCGGGCTGCAGCTGCTCCCGCGCCTGCGTCTGGTTCTCCAGCAGCTGCACGGGCTCCGAGGGGAACACGGACAGGTCGAGCTTGGGGTCCCCAGCAGGCAGGACCCCCCCCGGGACGGGCATGGCAGGCAGGCCTGCGTCCCCCAGGGGACTCTGCTCGGTGACCTGGGAGGTGAGGTAGGTGCGGAGCCCAGCGGGATCCGTGTACACCAGGATCCCGATCCAGATCACCGTCCCGGCCTGTGCAGGAAGAGATGGCTGCCTTTAGTGCCACTGTCCTGCCTGGGTGGGCAGGGTGAGACAGCTGCCTTTAGTGCCACGTCCCCTGCCCGGGCAGGGACACAGCTCCCTCAGTGCCACTGTCCTGCCTGGGTGGGCAGGGTGAGACAGCTGCCTTTAGTGCCACCTCCCCTGCCCGGGCAGGGACACAGCTCGCTCAGTGCCACTGTCCTGTCCCTGCCTGGGTAGGGACACAGCTCCTTCAGTGCCACTGTCTTGTCCAGGCAGGGACACAGCTCCTTCAGTGCCACTGCCCTGTCCAGGCAGGGACACAGCTCCCTCAGTACCACTGTCCTGTCCCTGCCCGGGCAGGGACACAGCTCGCTCAGTGCCACTGTCTTGTCCCTGCCTGGGTAGGGACACAGCTCGCTCAGTGCCACTGTCCTGTCCCTGCCCGGGCAGGGTGAGACAGCTCCTTCAGTGCCACTGTCCTGTCTGGGCAGAGACACAGCTCCTTCAGCGCCACTGTCCTGTCCCTGCCCGCGCAGGGTGAGACAGCTCCTTCAGTGCCACTGCCCTGTCCAGGCAGGGACACAGCTCCCTCAGTGCCACCTCCCCAGCTTGAGCTGTGTCTCCAGCCTGAGCAGGATGAGCACTCTAGGTGCCCCCCCGGCAGTCTGGGTGCCATCCCAGCAGTCTGGGTGCCATCCCAGCAGTCTGGGTGCCACCCTGTCAGTGTGTGTGCCCCCCCCATCACTCATGTGCCCCCGTCTCCCTGTGTGCCCCCCATCTCCCTTCAGCGCCCCCAGCTCCCTGTGTGCCCCCATCACTCCGAGTGCCCCGTGTGCCCCGTGTGCCCCCGTGTGCCCGTACCATGATGAGGCGCTGTGCCAGGCGGGTGCGGGCGAAGAAGTAGATGACGCGCAGGCGCTTGGGCAGGCGCAGGTTGCGCAGCGAGGACGGCTGCAGGGTGATGGTGTGCGGCGTGTGCGGCGGCGCCGGGCGCAGCGCCGCGCGGGCACGGCACGCCGCCTTGGCCAGGCACGACTCGGCGGGCAGCCGCTTGGTTAAGTAGGAAGAGATGGCTGCCTTTAGTGCCACTGTCCTGCCTGGGTGGGCAGGGTGAGACAGCTGCCTTTCACTGTCCTTCCCCTGCCCGGGCAGGGACACAGCTCGCTCAGTGCCACTGTCTTGTCCCTGCCTGGGTAGGGACACAGCTCGCTCAGTGCCACTGTCCTGTCCCTGCCCGGGCAGGGTGAGACAGCTCCTTCAGTGCCACTGTCCTGTCTGGGCAGAGACACAGCTCCTTCAGCGCCACTGTCCTGTCCCTGCCCGCGCAGGGTGAGACAGCTCCTTCAGTGCCACTGCCCTGTCCAGGCAGGGACACAGCTCCCTCAGTGCCACCTCCCCAGCTTGAGCTGTGTCTCCAGCCTGAGCAGGATGAGCACTCTAGGTGCCCCCCCGGCAGTCTGGGTGCCATCCCAGCAGTCTGGGTGCCATCCCAGCAGTCTGGGTGCCACCCTGTCAGTGTGTGTGCCCCCCCCATCACTCATGTGCCCCCGTCTCCCTGTGTGCCCCCCATCTCCCTTCAGCGCCCCCAGCTCCCTGTGTGCCCCCATCACTCCGAGTGCCCCGTGTGCCCCGTGTGCCCCCGTGTGCCCGTACCATGATGAGGCGCTGTGCCAGGCGGGTGCGGGCGAAGAAGTAGATGACGCGCAGGCGCTTGGGCAGGCGCAGGTTGCGCAGCGAGGACGGCTGCAGGGTGATGGTGTGCGGCGTGTGCGGCGGCGCCGGGCGCAGCGCCGCGCGGGCACGGCACGCCGCCTTGGCCAGGCACGACTCGGCGGGCAGCCGCTTGTTCAGGTCAGCCAGCTGCAACACAGCCAGGGGCAGCGTGAGGGGCAGGGCAGCCCCAGAGCCCTGGGCAGGGAGTCCTGGGCAGGGACTGCTCCCCAGTGACCCCCTGGTGTCTCCTCCCAGCCCATTTACAGACCCAGGGAAGCACGGAATGCTTGGCATGGAAGGCACCTTAAAGCCAATTCCACCCCCTGCCATGGCAGGGACACCTCCCACTTCTCCAGCCCCAGTGTCCAGCCTGGTCTTGGGCACTGCCAGGGATCCAGGGGCAGCCACAGCTGCTCTGGGCACCCTGTGCCAGCCCTGCCCACCCTCAGAGAGGTAAGTTTCTCCTAAAATCCAACATAAACCTTCTCTCTGTCAGTTTGAAGACACTCCCCCTTAACCTGTCCAATGTCTCTCCCCAGTGTGGCTCCCTTCAGGTCGTGGAAGACCACAAGTAGGTCTCTAAGCTTTCCTTCTCCAGGCTGTGCAATCCCAATTCTCTCAGCCCTTCCTCACAGCAGAGCTGCTCCACCCCTCTAATCAACTTGGTGCCTCCTCTGGATTTGCTCCCACAGCTCCATGTTCTTCCTGAGAGTGTCTTTTCCCTCAAGTGTTCTGTTCCCAATCCCTGTGTTAGTCAAGCAAGTATGAAAATGGGATTCTAACAGCTCAGGATGACAGGAAACAGCCCCAAGCTGACAAGAGAAGGTTTAGGTTAAATATTAGGAAAAATTTCTTCCTGGAATGGGCTGCCCAGCCCTGGCCCAGCTGCCCAGAACAGGGGTGGAGTGCCCATCCCTGGGGGGATTTAACAGCACTGGGGGACACGGTCAGTGGTGAGCACCGTGGTGCTGCTGGGGAGTGCTTAAGGCCTTTCTGAGCTCAGTGGGGTTCTGACTCTGTTCTTTGCCCTTGCAGAGGGGATGCTGGGGCTGGCTCCCCCTCCCTGGCGTGCCCCTTGCCCACCTCCATGCGGCGGATGTCGATGGACAGCACCGTGGTGAAGAAGAACATCTGCAGGAAGAAGTCTGACACCAGCCCCACCACGGCGAAGAGGCAGAACTCCTGTGGGTGGGACAGGGATTAATCCCACTGCCCCAAAGCAGGAGGGAAGCCAGCAGTGCTTTGCTGGCAACCCCCTGATCCACCTCTTGTCCTGGCTGGAGCTCAGGGCTGAGCCCATGTGAGAACACAAGGACATTTATTCTAATTCACATGCTGTGCTCTTTTTGGCCACAATCCCTCTCTGCTCACAGGGAACAAGGGACAGCATGAGAGGAGAAGACCTCAGGTTGTGCCAGGGGAGATTTAGATTAGAAATGAGGGAAAATTTCTTCCCCAAAAGGGGCTGTTAGGCACAGGAACTGCCCGGGGCAGGGGTGCAGTCCCCGTGCCTGCAGGGTTTGAACAGCTGTGTGGCACTGGGGGACATGGGCTCATGGTGGCCTTGGCAAATCCAGAACAGCTGGAGCTGATGGTCTCCAAGGCTTCTGCAGCCCAGCCCATTCCCTGACCCTGACCCTGCTCCCTGCAGGGGCAGGCTCTGTCCTGGCAGCCCCACTCACCTGGATGGCCGGCACCAGGGTGAAGTACCCGATGAGGATGATCCCCAGCTCCGTTGCCATGTTCTTCATGATGGACCAGCTCTCATTGCTCAGGCCTGGGGAAGGGCAAGGACAGGTCAGGGCAGCCTCCTCACTGTGCCAGACATGAACACAGCAAAAGGAGCAGCACTTCCCCCTTTAAAACCAGGAATCTACAGGCAACAGGCCCAAAAGGCCCTTCCAGGCTAAAATTCCTGAGTGCAAAAGCCCACCCAAGTTCTGAGTCCTGCTTCCCATCTAGGATCCAAACCACTCGTATTTTTAAAACTAAAATCAGCATTGCTTTAGAATCTCTTCTCCCTGATGTTTAGAAACAGCTTTGAAGATTGCAAATCCCATTTATCCATGGTGTGAGCACACCTAAATCCTTCCACAAGCACAGAGCATTTATAGAATGGAAAAGATAATTCTGTCTCACATTCAGGGGAATTTTGTAGGATTGTGTTCTGCACTTCTGATATCCATGACCTGAGGACAGTGCTCAGTATCCACACTAGGAAACTCTCCCCTACTCGTATTTTTAATATTTATTTAGCTTGTTTCAGTCAAGAATCCCAAAAAGCAGTGCCCACAACAGCAGCATCGTGTTCTTGGAATTTAAAACAAAAGGCTGTACAAGTCACCTGGTTTCTCCCCAGACCTGGATGAGGCCTTTGCCCCCTGCCAGCCCCTGCTCCCCCAGTTTCCCTCCCTGCAGCCCCCGAGCAGAGCCCACCTTGGGCGATGCGCAGCTTCACCTCCAGGTCCACGGGCGTGGACACCACGGACTTGGTGAGGACCAGCACGTTCTCCAGGCCAATCACCACCACCAGGTATGGGAATATCTCTCTGAGGGAACAGAGGCACAGCTCAGGAGGGGATCCATATAGATAAAGAAGGGAAAGAGGCAGGTTTGGAGCAAGCACGCCCCTGGGAGTCGAGGTGAGGAGACACCAGCCTCCAACCCCTTCCCTCAGTGTCACACTGCACAAGGAAAAGGTTTGTGTTTCCTCTGCCTTGGGCAGAAACCAGTTTTTGCAAAGCTGCAGGAATTCCTGGGAAATGCCCCTTGTGGAGCAGCACTAAATTAATCCTGGTGCTTCCCAGGGACAGAGCCCTGTGCTCTCCAGCACCGGGTACAGCAACAGGGATGGGCCTGGAACACCCTGAGGGACTGGGGGTGGTGGTCACTCATCAGGGAGAGCAGGGAGTGTGTCCCACCTCCTTTAAGGACCATCCCATCCCACCCCTGCCATGGCAGGGACACCTCCCACTGTCCCAGCTGCTCCAAGCCCTGTCCAGCCTGGCCTTGGGCACTGCCAGGGATCCAGGGGCAGCCACAGCTGCTCTGGGAATCCATTCCAGTCCCTCACCACCCTCACAGGGAAGGGTTGCTTCTGTCTATCTCACCTACATTTGCCCTCTTTCAGTCTGAACCACTGCTCCTTGTCCTATCACTGTAGTTCCTGATGGAGAATCCCTCTCCAGCTTCCCTGCAGGCTCCCTCAGACACTGGAAGGGGGGAATGTCAGTGAATGTCCACAGTGAGTGAAAAAACCACCAACACAGATGAGCCTCTCATGGGCAGCTTCTTGCTCATGCCCCAGAATCCAAAATTCAGCAAGAACAACTCAGGCCTGCCTTTAATGAAAGCCCTTTCAGCTCATAAGCCTTGTGAGCCCTCCAGGCAGCACCAGCACAGGACAGAGATGGGAGATGAGCTCCTTGGGGCTGGGAATCTCTGAGCACCAGCACAGGACAGAGATGGGAGATGAGCTCCTTGGGGCTGGCAATCTCTGAGCACCAGCACAGGACAGAGATGGGAGATGAGCTCCTTGGGGCTGGGAATCTCTGAGCAGACAGAACGGAGCTGCTGCAGGAGGAGGCTGAGGGAGAGCCTGCTCAGCTCCAGGAATAACAAATCCAGTGTTATCCCAACAATCCCTCCTGCTTCAGGCACAGAGCCAACTGCTCAGCAGTAAGGAATCTCCAGGACTGGCCAGCAGAGGAGAACATCCCCTGCATCCCTGGTGAGCACCTGATGGTCACCTGGAAAAATCCCTTCCACAGGATTTCTTCTCCTGGGAAGCTGAGAAGCCTCAGAGAAAAATGAAAACAATGATTATCTGATTGCTTCTCCTGTGTTTTGCTGCTTTGGAATGTGGTCTGGAGATTGTTTGTCCACCAGGTGAGTGTTTGACTGGTTTCATGTGAATTGTTTTTACTTAATGACCAATCACAGCCAGGGGTGTAGGGACTGGAAGAGAGAGTCACGAGTTTTCATTATTCATTCATTATTCTGTGTGTATCCTTTCTCTATTCTTTAGTATAGTTTAGTTTAGCATTCTTTAATACACTATAACACCATAAAATAATAAACTAGCCTTCTAAGAACGTGGAGCCACATTCACTCATCCCTCCCCTCGCCGGGGCTGCCTGCAAGTTCATCAGTGGCCGTGTCCAGCACACAGGACTTGTTCCCCTGCACCCAGGGCTGCCCTGGCAGGGCTGGCAGGGCTGGCACGTACCCGCCGTTGAGCGTGGGCGTGAGGCCAAAGAGGGTGCAGAGCCCCACGGACATGAGCAGCGAGCTGAGCACCGTCACCACCGCCGCCAGCGCCAGGCCCCACTTGGACTTCACCATGTCGATCTTGCCTGCAAAACAGCCCCAGCCAGGTGAGCAGGGACAGCACACGGCACGGACACGCGCACACGGACAGACGGACACGGGGGGACAGCCCCAGCAGGTCCCAGGACATCCCCGGCCCAGAGGGACGGCACTGCAGGGTCTGAAATGCAGGTACTGCAGGGTCTGAAATGCAGGCACTGCAGTGCTCGTGTCTGAAATGCAGGTACTGCAGTGTCTGAAATGCAGGTACTGCACTGTCTGAAATGCAGGCACTGCAGGGTCTGAAATGAAATTAAAATACTGCAGTGCTCATGTCTGAAATGCAGGCACTGCACTGTCTGAAATACAGGCACTGCAGTGTCTGAAATTGAGGTACTGCAGTGTCTCAAATGCAGGCACTGCAGTGCTCATGTCTGAAATGCAGGCACTGCAGTGTCTGAAATGCAGGCACTGCAGTGCTCATGTCCCAAATGCAGGCACTCCCTCCCAGGACAAGGTGGGACAGGGGACAATGCTGCTTCACATTTCACACCAGTCCCAGCACTGCAATGAGATGGGAAGAACCAAACTGAAAGGTGGCCAGAGAGGTTTAAACCCACCAGCTCAGAACCTGTGTCTGATAATAGATGAAACAAACTGGGAAAAAAGGCATTCCTGGGGCATCTAAGGGTGCCCAAGACAGAAAACACCTTGGAAGGTATCAATTAATCACGGAATAGTTTGGGTTGGAAGGGACTTTAAAGAAATCTATCCACTATCCCAGACCTTGGACACTTGCAGGGATGGGGAAAGGTGGATCACAAGGAATAACAGCACCCTGGCTGAGAGGGGCAAATGAGCAGAACTCAGATAAACAGTTTTTGATCCTCTCCATGACAGTTGAGGGCAGAACTCCACCACCACCTCTCCTGCTGGAGCAGGTGAGGTCACAGACACCGCCTGCAGCCCCGAGCCCCGGCCAGGCGCCCCAGACCTACGTGTGGAGAAGTAGATGTAGGCGAAGAGGATGATGTAGGTGGTGACGAGCGGGATGAGCTCGGCGATGCCGATCTCCTCCTTGAAGTGCACGTGCACCACGCTCTCCTCCCGCAGGCTGCAGTTGGGGCTGGGGTGCAGCAGCTTCAGCCGGGAGCGCAGGCTGCTCAGGAACCTGGGGACAGCAGCACGTCACTCACCTTTCCCAGGAGCACAGCTGCAGCTCCTGCAGGAGCCCGGCAGCACGCAGCTGCAGGGCTGCACGTGGAGCAGCAGGGCACAGCTTGCTCCCAAAGCTGCTCCTTGCTGGCCCCAACCACCCAGAGCCTGGTTTCTGCAGAGGTCTGCTGGGCTGGCTCACCAAAACTTTGTTTAAAGAAAGCAAAGGCTCGTTAATCACAATCTGGGCCTGTGGGACAGAACAAGCCATGGCCTCAAACACTCCCAGAATTTTCCCAGAATTACAGAATTCTGTGTAAAAATGGCTGGTGGGAGGTGCCACACAGTGGCCCTCAGGGCTCAATGTTTTGGAAGAGCAACTTTAAACTCCCATGCTGCCAAATCCATCCCAGGCATCCCTTGGGGAATTCTGTGCAGCTCAGAGTCCTCAGATCCACTCAATCCACGCCACTTTGGCCAACATTTTCCACCAGCTGAACCAGTGCTTACTGGAAAGCAGAGCAGTCTGAGTACAAGGAACTGGGTCCAACCAGAGCCACTGGGACGTGGATGCCACAGCAGCTCTGGATGCTACAGACCCTGCTTGTGAAGGGGGGCTGAGAACTGAGAGTATTTCATTACCGTAACACACAGCAAGTTTTCTCCCCAGAAAGCACCTTCAGAGATGTGAGATGCTCTAAACCACAGGGAATTGGAGGGCAAGGAAAGATCAGGGAGGGGAAAGCAGCCGTGCCAGAGCAGGCCTCACCTGGAGTCGTAGCGCTGCAGCCCCAGGGTGACGGTGTAGGACACGACGCGGCGCCGGTTGGACAGGCTGACCCCGCTGTACCTGCCAGGCAGCCCGAAGAGCAGGTCTGCAGAGACAGGGGGCATCAGGGACAGCGCTCACACAGCACAGGGGGCACACGTGGCCCTGCCAGCAGCTCCAGCAGGAATGGCTGCTCTCATCCCACAGGATATCCCGTGCTCTGGGGAGAGCCCACGGGTGCAGGCTCCAAGCACAGCGAGCTCACACTCTGGGTGCTCAAAAACAGCCTTTAAATCAAACTTCCTTCAGGGTTACAAACCCCTTTTCAGACATGTAATACAGCACATCACATGCTGTCAGCTCTCTGAGGTTCCAATAAGAGGCTCCAACCACAGCGAGCTCACACCCTGGGTGCTCAAAACCAGCTTTTAAACTTCCTTCAGGGTTACAAACCCCTTTTCAGACATGTAATACAGCACATCACATGCTGTCAGCTCTCTGAGGTTCCAATAAAACCAAAGGATGCAACCTGCATTTAAAGCAGCAATTCCTCTGGCATTATGGAACCACTAACGACCCCACACACGGTCACAGGGTTTCTTTATAACTAAGAGATAAAAACAGTTTGATGATATCCAGATAAAAATAGTTTTATGATATCCATTGTAAGCTTGGGCTGTGTGCAAGGAATTAGAACACACAGGGGAGCAGGATAAATGTTGATTTATCTGTGACAATGAGGCAGCCTTTGAGCGTGACAGAGGGAAAAGCCAGGCTGGAGCACGTGCAGGGTGAGAGGAACAAAACCCTGCTATTTTTACCTGCACAAAGAAGCCTGACTGAGTGATTTGTTCACTTCTCACATAGACAGATCAGGGCTCCAATACACATATGAAATGAGAGACAACAAAGACCGGGCAGCTTCGGCTGCTGGGGATGAAAAAATACTGCCCAAATTGGCACTATCAGCAATTCCAGTGCTGGAATTAGTGAGGATGGAATAACAATGAAGCTGCAGGCAACTCTCAGCTTCCCTGGCTCACCTTTGAGAGTGGCTGACGTCTGCAAGGTCTTTGGCTCATGCTGGTGGATGGTTTTGATGATATCTGGGTCGGCATTGAAGCGCTCGCGGTCGTTCTGCCAGAAGTTGCCCGGGGACAGCAGCAGGCAGCCGTGCTCTGGCAGCAGATTCCTCAGCTTCCTGAGGCCAGGCAGCAGGTCTGTCACCTGCAGACAAACCTCCTCCAGGCTCCTGACCCCCGAGCTGAAAGGCAAACACAGGCTGTGGGACCCAGCCAGGCAAAGGAGAAGCGCTTGGAGAGGAGCGTCCCAGGGACCTGCACCAGCTGTGGCTGCTCTTCCTCCTCACAGCTGGGGCTCCCTGCAACTGTGAGCAGGCTCCAGAGCTCCATCAGCATTCCTGGGGGCTGCCTGGCCCCCAGCTCTCACTCCCCACCCACCTCTGGTACCACACTTTTACACTGAAGACACTTCCACCCGACAGAGAAACTCTCTCTGGAATTCCTCCAGACCTCAAACCCCTCTCTGCACCTCTCTCCACACATGCAGTGGATGTTTCACAGGAGTCCTGGGCACCCTTCCTGGGGTGGGTGCTTTGAGGAGCTCTAAAATGCACCAGGATTCCATGTCTGTGCCTGGGCTGGTGTTTCCAAGTGCTCTGCATTGCATGGAAAGGAGCATTTCCTGAGAGGTGCAGAACTGCACACAGGAGTAACTGGAATGAACTGGAGCCTGACTGGCATCACCCTTAGCAACCACTAATTCAAGCAAAACCCAGCTTGGGTGTACAACAGGCCCTGGTGGGAGGTGTCCTGGGTTGTAAGGTCTGTGTGTGTTCTATTCCCATCTGTTCTCTGCTGTTCATTGGGCAGTTTTTTCTTTATCTCTCTCACAGTCAAACCTCCCTCCAGGAGATCTCTGCTGTTAATGGGTCATTGATTATTAATTATCTGCTGCTCATGGCCACTGAGTGTCCCTGCATGGCTGATCAAATTCCAGCATCCCATGGGGAGATGCTCCGCCCAGGGCAGGAGCCAAGCATTCCTACCTGGATACAATCTGAGATTTCGGGACAGCAGAGCAGCTTCTCCACTGGATTTCCCAGAGGAGCAGCAGCTGCCTCTTCCACTTCAGAGGAAGACTACACCTTTCAACAGCATCCCTGATATATAATAATAGAGAGATATATATTATATATTATAATATAAACTCAGCTTATTCTACTACAATCACATTATTATATTATAAACCCCATCATTATCTTATCTAATACAGTTTCTTACTTACTTCAGGCCTATTCTTACTTGTAACTATAGAAACATAAGTTTGTGATTTCTCTGTTCAGTGTCTGTGTACCTTGCTTTCACATCAGTCTAGGCTCCTTCTAAGGTGTAAATCAAACCCTCCTGAGTCTGTGAGGATTTCTGTCTTTCTGATTCCCACAGGAAAGGAGGCTGGGCAGAAGGAAGGTGGGAAGTGGCTGTTACAGGCTCAGGCCATGGACAAATCCACCCAGGATGGGTCAGAGCTCAGCCAAGTGACCAAACTTTGCACACAACAAGGTGGACCCGCTGACAAAAATCAGAAAAACTGACCCACAGGAAGCCCCAGAGCCCTGCTGTGGACTGGGTGAGTGGTCACACTGAAATGAGGGCACACTGCACAAAAAACTCTGATTTTGGGAGCACGCAGCAGGGGCTGGCACTGAGCAGGAAGACGTGCCAAGGCATCCTCAGAGTGCCCCCAGTGCCAGCTGAGACTTGAACAAAATCACCCAAAATCACTGCCTTTGCAGGTCAGAAGTACCAAACACTCTGTGCCTCCTGGCCAAGAGCTTGTCCTGGGGCTCTGCAATAATCCTCATATATCTATAGCTACATCTGTATCTATGTGGAAAATGCAAATTATATGATTGGCTCTTTGCAGGTATTAAAATGAATATTGTACGTGTTATGTTGGAAAGTTATGCTCTATTAATCTCTTTTAAGTAGTGTGGTAAATATCGTTTTTAGGCTATAGCGTAACATTAAAATAGAAACTATGTGATGTAAGATACTTTTTGTAACCAGCTCAAGGAATGGAAAAGATAACCAAGAAATTCTTTGTTTAGAGATAACAGCAACAGACACCAAGATCCCAAGAGAGGAATTACTGCCTCCTTATTGGGAACAACCAGACTTCGAGGGACCAACAAAACTGATTTACAAGATGGGGGGAAGCTGAAATTAAGCAGAAACACCATGGTTTGAAAGGAATGTTTGAATCACATATGAGATCTATGAATATGCAATAGGCTATTGCTTCTAAGGGGTAATCCTTTGTTAGCAAGGTGTGCTTTGTGGCAGTGCCAGGCACCCTGATGTCTGCAATTATTTGCTTTTTATTGCCTCTCATTGTCCTCATTTTCATTACTATTTCCATTACTATTTTATTACTATTAAGCTTCTGGAATTTTAACACAAGTGAATGGTGTTTTTCACAATCTGTACCTATACACACACACATATATAAATACAATAAACAACTGTTAGGAACCAAAGGGTAGTGCTGTGTCACAAGCTCTCCTGAGCCCCGTGTCTCTCGAACAGCCCCAAAAGACAAAACGGATGATTTCAGGACAAGTGACAGGGAAAGGCAGTCACGCTGAGGTCAGCCCCGCCTGGGATGGTGCCTGTGGCTCGGAGGGCAAGCGAGGCCCGGTGTCCGGGCGGCCCTGGGTTCTGTTTGGGTGCTGTGGGTTCTGTTTGGGTGCTGTGGGCTCTGACCTGGTGTCTGTGGGTTCTGACCTGGTGTTCTGTGGGTTCTGTTTGGGTGCTGTGGGTTCTGACCCCGTGTTCTGTGGGTTCTGTTTGGGTGCTGTGGGTTCTGACCCCGTCAATCTGTACCTATACACACACACATATATAAATACAATAAACAACTGTTAGGAACCAAAGGGTAGTGCTGTGTCACAAGCTCTCCTGAGCCCCGTGTCTCTCGAACAGCCCCAAAAGACAAAACGGATGATTTCAGGACAAGTGACAGGGAAAGGCAGTCACGCTGAGGTCAGCCCCGCCTGGGATGGTGCCTGTGGCTCGGAGGGCAAGCGAGGCCCGGTGTCCGGGCGGCCCTGGGTTCTGTTTGGGTGCTGTGGGTTCTGACCTGGTGTCTGTGGGTTCTGACCTGGTGTTCTGTGGGTTCTGTTTGGGTGCTGTGGGCTCTGACCCCGTGTTCTGTGGGTTCTGTTTGGGTGCTGTGGGTTCTGACCCCGTGTTCTGTGGGTTCTGTTTGGGTGCTGTGGGTTCTGACCCCGTGTTCTGTGGGTTCTGTTTGGGTGCTGTGGGTTCTGACCCCGTGTTCTGTGGGTTCTGTTTGGGTGCTGTGGGTTCTGACCCCGTGTTCTGTGGGTTCTGTTTGGGTGCTGTGGGCTCTGACCCCGTGTTCTGTGGGTTCTGACCCCGTGTTCTGTGGGTTCTGACCCAGTGTTCTGTGGGTTCTGTTTGGGTGCTGTGGGCTCTGACCCGGTGTTTTGTGGGTTCTGACCCCGTGTTCTGTGGGTTCTGTTTGGGTGCTGTGGGCTCTGACCCCGTGTTCTGTGGGTTCTGCCTGGCTGTCTCTGTTCTGTCCCGGTGTCTCTGTTCTGCCCGGGTGTCTCTGTGCTCTGCCCGGGTGTCTGTGTGCTCTGCCCGGGTGTTGTTCTGTCCGGGTGTCTCTGTGCTCTGTCCGGGTGTCTGTGTGTTCTGTCCGGGTGTCTGTATGCTCTGTCCGGGTGTCTCTGTTCTGCCCGGGTGTCTCTGTGCTCTGCCCGGGTGTCTGTGTGCTCTGTCCGGGTGTCTGTGTGCTCTGTCCGGGTGTCTGTGTGTCCCAAGGACAGGGGTACCTCGATGCAGACCCCGCTCCGCTCCGTGCTCTGCTCCCAACAGCGCAGCGCCCCCGCGTGGCGGCGGCCGGAACAGCGCCCTGCGCCGCCGGGGCCGAACCGCGGGAACCGGGCGGGAACAGGGGGGGAACGGGGCGGGAAGGGGAACGGGAACGGGAACGGGGCGGGAACGGGGGGGAAAGAGGGCGGGAAGGGGGCGGGAACGGCGCGGGATCCCCGGGCCCGGGCACCGCACGGGCACCGCTCTCCGGGCCCGGGCTCCCCGCAAAGCCGGGCACGGACACCCGCAGGACCTGCCTGTGCATCGCCTCGGGGAGCAGGGAGGGCTGGGGGCAGTCACTGACACCCTCCGGGGGAACAAAGGCAGCCCTGGACAGAGCACCCTGCCCAGGCACGGACTGACCAGCGGCAGGGGGAAAGAGGGCGGGAACGGCGCGGGATCCCCGGGCCTGGGCACCGCACGAGACCGCACGGGCACCGCTCTCCGGGCCCGGGCTCCCCGCAAAGCCGGGCACGGACACCCGCAGGACCTGCCTGTGCATCGCCTCGGGGAGCAGGGAGGGCTGGGGGCAGTCACTGACACCCTCCGGGGGAACAAAGGCAGCCCTGGACAGAGCACCCTGCCCAGGCACGGACTGACCAGCGGCCGTGCTGAGGCTGCACACGCTGAGGAGCTCAGGAGTGACCATCCCTGCATGGTCACACTCACTCTGGAGTGACCATCCCTGCATGGTCACACTCACTCTGGAGTGACCATCCCTGCATGGTCACACTCACTCTGGAGTGACCATCCCTGCATGGTTACACTCACAATAACGCCTTCACACTGAGGAGCTCCGGAGTGACCATCCCTGAATGGTTACACGAACAACGGTGTGACCATCCCTGCATGGTCACACTCACTCTGGAGTGACCATCCCTGCATGGTCACACTCACTCTGGAGTGACCATCCCTGCATGGTCACACTCACTCTGGAGTGACCATCCCTGCATGGTTACACTCACAATAACGCCTTCACACTGAGGAGCTCCGGAGTGACCATCCCTGCATGGTTACACCCAGAACAATGTGACCATCCCTGCATGGTTACACTCACTCTGGAGTGACCATCCCTGCATGGTTACACTCAGAACAATGCCTTCCTGCTGAGGAGCTCTGGAGTGACCATCCCTGCATGGTCACACTCACTCTGGAGTGACCATCCCTGCATGGTTACACTCACAACAACGCCTTCAATCCCACAGCACCCTGATCTGTCAGCCATCCCAACAGCGACTGCAAAGGGAGCAGGGCTGGTTTTCCCCCAACACAGCACACACAGAACCAACAGACCTGACCCTTGCAGGAGAAATTCCCACCTGAAGCCCCTGCAGACTGTGACACTGGTAACAACAGCAGCTGCTGGATTTGTTCTCAGTTTCCTGCTCATTTCATTAAATGTTTGGATGATGGGAATTCCACACCACACATATTTTCTAGTGGCCTTCCTGCAGCTGGAGTGATGCTCCTTCTGGAAGGAAGAACAGCCCAGATGCACACAGTGGTAAAGTCCTGGGCAGTGCTGTTAAGGTGCTAGAGCATGTGAGCTTTCAATGGCTTGGATTAGTATTTACTTATGGTCAGCCCAGTAGATTTGCAGTGTATATGAGTTATTGCTCCAGAATGCTCGTGTCTTCACTCTGGTTGTCACAGGGGGTGGAAAAGATTTCCCCCTGAATGTGCTGTGACACTGGTAACAACATCTACTGCTGGATTTGTTCTCAATTTCCCACTCATTTCATTAAATATTTGGATGAGAATTCCACACCAAACATATTTTCCAGTGGCCTTCCTGCAGCTGGAGTGATGCTCCTTCTGGAAGGAAGGACAGCCCAGATGCACACAGTGGTAAAGTCCTGGGCAGTGCTGTTAAGGTGCTAGAGCATGTGAGCTTTCAATGGCTTGCATGAATATTTACTTATGGTCTGTCCCAGTAGTTTTGCAGTGTATATGAGTTATTGCTCCAGAATGCTCGTGTCTTCACTCTGGTTGTCACAGGGGGTGGAAAAGATTTCCCCCTGAATGTAAGTTGAATTTTCCAGAACATGATTCTGGAATCAGTTTTGTGCATCTCTTCCCATCTCCTCGGGGTAAGGTATAAAACTCCCCATGGCAGTAGGTGGGAACTATTTGAGTTTCATTCCAGCTGTGATCCCCCTGGGGCTAAAATCCAGATTGTCCTGTAGTACATGCACATTTGGCCAAGTGATTGGTCAGGTTAGCACTGTCTAACACTTGATATGGTGAGCAAGGACAGGTGAAATGCTGAACTTCACTGAGGAACACTGGGCTGAGAACCAGGGATGGAAGTGAAGGGAGTCACTGACCCATCACTGAACTCCTCCAACCACTGCAACTGAGAAATTAACTCCAGGAACTTTTCCTGGATCCTCATTTGCATCCCATCTTTCCTATAGTTTTAACACTCAGGGGGTGGGGAACATCCTGATCCACACAGACTGGTAACAATACAAGTGAAATTACTTGTTTGGGTTCTCCTCTGCCACCATGAACACTCTGGACTAAACACTGAACACTCTGGCTATACCCTGCCACTGTAACTTTTTTTAATCAGTAATCATTATATATCTAGATCTACATCTATCTATCCTATCTATCTATCCATCCATCATCCATGCCCTGAGCAGGGACACTGCTTTGCCCTGTGGTGACTCCAGGGGCTGAGTGAAGGCTCCTGAACCCTCCCCATGTCCACGGGCAGCTCCATCTGACTCCCAGTCAATGCTGGCTCCTTTGCCAGCTCTAACACAGGTTGTGCTGTAATCTACTGGAACTTCTTCTCTTTTTTACTGTGGAGATATTCTGATTAACATCTTCCATCTGTTATTTCCTGTCTGTTTAATAAATAATTCACTTTATAAAGACACCTCATTTGCCTTCACCAGAACTTGTGGGCCAGAGGGAGTCCTTAAATTTAAACTGCTGCCAAAGCCTGAGGCTAAGGCCTGCCTGGCTCTGGCTCTGCACATCTCAGGAAGTGCTTCCAGATGGCAAATGAACTGAAGCCTTTGTAAGATCCCCCTCCAGAAGAGATTTCTCATAACAACTACAAAGAACGAGCAGAGAAATTCAAAACTGATGACTTGCCTTTGTGAACACCCCCTGCACAACGTGCACCCCGTGGCTGCACGGCAGGACACCTGGACAAGGCTCAGCTGTCAAAAGACAGCAATGGCAAACACACTTCCAAAAACGGTGTTCATAGGGACCAAAGCTTGGGGGAGGAAAATGTAAAGGAACTGAGGCAGTGATGGCTCTGGAAAGGGCTCCAGGAGAGCCAGATGACCATGGTTTGTATTTTATCAGCTCTGGAACGTGGCAGAGATAACAGCTCTGCTGCAGATAAGCCCAGGGCCGTCCCTGTCTGCGAGGCCACCCAGCCCTGGGATCCTGTCCCTGTGGGATGCTGAGGGTGCACAGTGACACCAAACCCACGCTGGGCAAAGCACAGGCTCCAGGTCACTCCTGAATGAACACAGGTGAGTGCTTGGGTCTGCAGCCAGGGGAAACACACCCAGGTGTGCTTCCTGCCCAGGTACACTTAGCAACCTGCAGCTCCCTCCTTTTATATAAAATCATATAAAAGATATGTAAGAGAATAGAATATAAAACAGAATACAAAACAGGCCAGTTTGCATGTAAAAAAAAATATTCCTGCTCAGCTTTGTCACTGGCAACAAACAAGAACTTCATAATGACTTTTGAGGTAATTGCAGAATTTACCTCAAAATTAGATGCTTCCTGAAATACCCAAATGCATCCCCAAAAAGGTAACCTTGCCCCAAGGTTTGGGTCTAAATGCTGAAGTAATTTTCTCCTGGTGGTACAAAGAGCAATAATAAAAGTAATAATTTTGTTTCTGTGTTGCATCACTGCTCATGAAGGGCAATGCCAAGGGGAGATAATGAGAATACAATGAGAAGACAAGGGAGATAATGAGAACACAGCACAGGCCTGGCAGCACGCTGCTTCTGCCTGTAATTGGCAACAGATGATTATCCCATGGGATAAGGGAGGAGAAGGACAGAGCACACAAGGTCAGTGCCAAGGCTGGGGGAGCTGGCAGGGACAGCAAACTGAGGAAATCTGAGGAGCAAAAGTGGCATTTCTACAACATGGCCTCTGAGAGCAGCAGCTGGGGGTGAAGGATGGGTCCCCAAAAGGACAAACCATCAGCTAGAGGAGCAGGGTGGACACTCAAAAATGATTAATTCAATACCCTTTCTGTTAACAGCACAAAGATCAAGACCCCACCTGGGGGTAAAAAAGAGTTTCTGCTCCCAGGTGGGAACCTGTCAGCTGGAAAGAACAGAGAGACATGGGGACATTAATAAATCACCTCTTAATGTGCAAAAGTGATGTGAGTGGGCACAAAACCAGACTTGTGATCTCAGGGGTGTCCCAGGAAAAGCCTTTCCATGGCAAACACCCCACAGGTGAGACTCCCCTGACAATCTGGGTGTGGTTCTGCTCTCCCCCCTCAGCAATGTCCCAGTGCCAGCAGTGCCACCAGCAGCACCCAGGATGGCACCTGGAATGCTGAACCTCTCACCAGTGAGCCCAGAGATTTCTGTTTGGCTTTTAACAAAGAGCAGGCTGGGCTGGGGAGTGGGAGCTCCCCTGGAAACACCTGGGAGCTGAGGAAAGCTGCTGTACAAAGGCTGCAACAGGAAAAACCAAGCAGGTACCAACTGGCCCTAAAAACAGCCAAGGAAAGTCAGGAGAAGGTTCCTAAGAGGAAATTCCAGCAGTGGCCCAGAACCCCCTGAGATATGGAGCTGGTGTGGTGGTGAGGGAATTCTGAGACCCTGCACCTGTATCACCTTGAGGCCCCTTCTGGACTCTGCCAGAAAACTCCTGAGGATTTTCAGTGCCCTACCTGGAGCACAGGGACTTCTCCAGCACCAAGGTGAATTGCCCCAGGGGCAGGATGGATCCCACCTTTAGGGCATGACAGCTCCAAGCCCCAGGGGCAGGATGGATCCCTCCTTTGGGACAGCGCCAAGCCCCAGGGGCAGGATGGATCCCACCTTTAGGGCATGACAGCTCCAAGCCCCAGGGGCAGGATGGATCCCTCCTTTGGGACAGCGCCAAGCCCCAGGGGCAGGATGGATCCCACCTTTAGGGCATGACAGCTCCAAGCCCCAGGGGCAGGATGGATCCCTCCTTTGGGACAGCGCCAAGCCCCAGGGGCAGGATGGATCCCACCTTTAGGGCATGACAGCTCCAAGCCCCAGGGGCAGGATGGATCCCTCCTTTGGGACAGCGCCAAGCCCCAGGGGCAGGATGGATCCCACCTTTAGGGCATGACAGCTCCAAGCCCCAGGGGCAGGATGGATCCCTCCTTTGGGACAGCGCCAAGCCCCAGGGGCAGGATGGATCCCACCTTTAGGGCATGACAGCTCCAAGCCCCAGGGGCAGGATGGATCCCTCCTTTGGGACAGCGCCAAGCCCCAGGGGCAGGATGGATCCCACCTTTAGGGCATGACAGCTCCAAGCCCCAGGGGCAGGATGGATCCCTCCTTTGGGACAGCGCCAAGCCCCAGGGGCAGGATGGATCCCACCTTTAGGGCATGACAGCTCCAAGCCCCAGGGGCAGGATGGATCCCTCCTTTGGGACAGCGCCAAGCCCCAGGGGCAGGATGGATCCCACCTTTAGGGCATGACAGCTCCAAGCCCCAGGGGCAGGATGGATCCCTCCTTTGGGACAGCGCCAAGCCCCAGGGGCAGGATGGATCCCACCTTTAGGGCATGACAGCTCCAAGCCCCAGGGGCAGGATGGATCCCTCCTTTGGGACAGCGCCAAGCCCCAGGGGCAGGATGGATCCCACCTTTATGTCAGCTCCAAGCCCCATGTGCAGGATGGATCCCACCTTTAGGGCATCACCAGCCCCTGGCCAGCCCCGGGCAGCCCCCTGCAGCCAGCTGTGCCCAGCTGCAGCTGCTGTGCCTCACCTGTCTCTCAGGGCGTGGTTCCTGATCTCCTCCACCAGCGGGAAGACGCGGGCCAGCGGCGAGCGGAACACATCCACGGCCAGGAAGTTCTTCTGCCAGGGGGACACGGTGGCTTTCACGAAGATCTGCTGGATGTAGGCCACGGGAGCCCCCACGTACTGCGGGGAAACAGGGCAGGGTCAGGGCTCTGCTGCCAGGGGCTGGGGAATCACACACAGACACAGGATTCTCCTGGGAAGCTGTGAGGAAGCTCAGAGGAAGAGTTAAAACAATTATTGTCTCTCTTTCTGCAACTGTTGTTTGTAGGTATGATTCTCCAGAGTGTGCTATTCATAGTTTGCCAATAGTGTGAGAGAAGATTCCTAAAAACCAATCAAGTCCACCGTTGTTTCTATAAAAACTGTAGATTTCTAATAAAGATGTACCTGTTCATACCTTCTACTGGCAGAATCTCTGTATCACCTCTGTCTGTCCCCAGTACCCCTCCAGTGACAGGGGGCTGTGTACAACCCCCAGTGGGATGGGAACACATCTCGAGCTGTTTTATTTTCCAGCATCAGCCTCATTCCATGGTTGTGACAATGGGAAGATGCCAGCAGCTCACATCCCCGGCAGCAGATAAAGAACTCAATCTCACAACTCACTTTATAAGTTTTTTGACCAATCACACAAAGCAGAAGCATTGACAGCAGTTCCATCCAAGCACTGTAAGCACAGGTACCTTTGGTTAAACAATGCTTGCTTATTTTGAATACAATCCCTGCTTGTGAGCCTGCAAACACAATGCACAGAGCTCCATTGTTAAGCTGAGAACTCCCTAACATCTTCCTAGATATCCTTTCCTAAAACCCTCTGATGTTAAAGATTCCCCCAGCTGGGGAGCTCCCAGAGAACCAGAGCAGGAACAGCTTTGCCAGACTCTGTTTTCCCTTCCCAAATCAGAGGTGGAACAGGAGAGGCAGGCAAGAACAAAGGGAGTCTGAGTCTGTGTTTGCGTTGTAGGGACCTCAAAGCCCACCCAGTGCCACCCCTGCCACTGTCCCAGGTGCTCCAAGCCCTGTCCAACCTGGCCTGGGACAGTTTCAGGGGTGGGGCAGCCACAGCTGCTCTGGGCCATCAATCAGGTGCTGGGCAGCCCAGCAGGGCTGTGTCCCCTCCCCATGTCCCTCCCATGTCCCTCCTGTGTCCTTCCCATGTCCCAGCAGGGCCATGTCCCTCCCCATGTCCCAGCAGGGCCGTGTCTCCTTGCCAAATCCCCAGCAGGGCCGTGTCCCTCCCCATGTCCCTCCCATGTCCCCATGCCCCAGCAGGGCCATGTCCCTCCCGTGTCCCCCCCATGTCCCTGTGTCCCTCCCATGTCCCTCCCATGTCCCCATGTCCCCAGCAGGTCCGTGTCCCCACCATGTCCCCGTGTCCCTCCCATGTCCCCATGTCCCCAGCAGGTCCGTGTCCCCACCATGTCCCCGGTGCCCCAGCAGCTCCGTGTCCCCCCATGCCCCCGCAGCTCTCACCCAGTCGGGGCGCTCGGCGGGCTCCCCGTGCTGCGGGCCCTGCTCCCCGGGGGGGCTGTAGTCCTTCAGGGGCGTGCTGAACTCCACGGGGCCCGTCCCTGGCAGGGGCAGCTTCAGCAGGGGCGAGCTGGGGGGACACAAGCAGGCAAAGCCCTCAGCTGGGAGCTCAGGGACTCTTTGAGGCAGAACAAATCACATGTTCCCTGAAATACCGGAATGCATCCCCAAAAAGGTAACCCTGCCCCCAGGGTGAGGTCTAAATGTTGAAGTCATTTTCTCCTGGTGCTATGAAGAATAATAACAAAAGTAATAATTTATATTAATTTATATAATAATAACAACAGCAATAATAACAATAACAAGAAGGAGAGGAAGGAGAAGGAGAAGGAGAAGGAGAAGGACAAGGAGAAGGAGAAGGAGGGGAAGAAGAGGAAGGAGAAGGAGACAAAGGAGAAGAAGAAGAAGAAGGAGAAAAAATTTCTACAATAATAATACCTGGCAGGGGCAGCTTCAGCAGGGGCGAGCTGGGGGGACACAAGCAGGCAAAGCCCTCAGCTGGGAGCTCAGGGACTCTTTGAGGCAGAACAAATCACATGTTCCCTGAAATACCGGAATGCATCCCCAAAAAGGTAACCCTGCCCCCAGGGTGAGGTCTAAATGTTGAAGTCATTTTCTCCTGGTGCTATGAAGAATAATAACAAAAGTAATAATTTATATTAATTTATATAATAATAACAACAGCAATAATAACAATAACAAGAAGGAGAGGAAGGGGAAGGAGAAGGAGAAGGAGAAGGAGAAGGAGAAGGAGAAGGAGAAGGAGAAGGAGGGGAAGAAGAGGAAGGAGAAGGAGACAAAGGAGAAGAAGAAGAAGGAGAAATAATTTCTACAATAATAATAATAATAATAATAATAATAATAATAATAATAATAATAATAATAATAATAATAATAATAATAATAATAATAATAATAGAAGAGTTTAAAAAATAGCCAGGTCCACTTTGGCAAAGCCAAGCTGTGCAGGACAGGAGGCCCAGCAAGGTGGCTTTGCCTTTCATGGGACACACTGCTACCCCAGAGCCCTTCTCCCTTGGAAAGGGATGGAAAAGTCCTGGGAGAGAAGGGAAGAGCTTGCAGAGCCTCTCCTGGATTCCTCCAGCCAACTTAGCTGTGGCAGAAAACAAATCAGGTGTGACAAAAACCACTCAGCGTGGCCGTGGCTCAGTAACTGCATCCCACCCAAAGCCCAGGCACTCCCTATGCTCCAGTGGCTGCTCCCCTGCCCCAAAGCCTTTAGAATCTTCTGATTTTCCTCAGTTACACTCAAAACTTGTCATTAACCTCTCAAAACTTGTCATTAACCTCATTGGTCCTGAAAGCACTTTTAAGAGCAGCAGTGAGACACCAAAACTGTGAAATCTTGACCTGCTTGCTGCTTTGCCACCACAACCTCTGGTGATTGTGGCTCCTGTCCCACAAGAGAGACTTTGAACTATTCAGAAGTTGAGAAAATGAGGTTACAGAGAGTTTAGAATGGGATTTTTAACTCCAAATGTTCTCTAAAGTGGTTTAAAGCAAGTCAGAATTGAACTGGTGGGAAAAGCAAGGCTGCTGACACACAGAGATCCACAAGAATCTGGAACTGTCAGCAGCAAACCGGAGATCAGAACTTCAGCCTTTTTGTGCCTCACAATTCCTGCTATATCCTCCTGGTTGCAGATGAATTTTGTGCCAATACTGACACAAGAAATAAAGACCGTGGAATTGTTGCCCTGCAAGGCTCTGCCCACTTCATTAGGGATTAGTTTGGATCATCAAAGGCCATGGAGGAACAAGCAGCATCCAAACACAGGGCTTCAGAGAGAACAACAAACAGCTGAAAAGGAACAATGAAATCAGAAGCCAGGCTTGTCAGATTTGCTCTTTATTGGTCTGACAGAAACACATCTAATTATCAGCATTCCCTTGTGCAGGGAAGAGAAAAAGGAATAATGAGATCAAGCCTAAGAGATAACCAAAGCAGAGCACGTTCAACAGATGATTGAGGAGGAATTATTTTTCCCTAAATGATTTCAGTGTTGGCAACTGTGTCCAGAAATCCAAGGAAAACACTTGAGATTCACAGAAGGCTCTGCAGAGGGGTATTCCCTGTGAGTCACCTGTGAGCTGGGAGGAGTCACAACAGCAGGTTTTGTAGAATTTGAGTCACTCACAACCAGACTGCTCAGCTTTAGTCTGACTGTGGAGTGAGCTCAGCTTTAGTCTGACTGTGGAGTGAGCTCAGCTTTAGTCTGACTGTGGAGTCAGCTCAGCTTTAGTCTGACTGTGGAGTGAGCTCAGCTTTAGTCTGACTGTGGAGTGAGCTCAGCTTTAGTCTGACTGTGGAGTGAGCTCAGCTTTAGTCTGACTGTGGAGCGAGCTCAGGTTTAGTCTGACTGTGGAGTGTCCCCCTCCCCTGGTGCCTGTGCTGGCAGTGCTGCTGCTGTCCCAGTGCCCGTCCCAGGGGTCTGGCACCCCTGGCACCCCCAGGGCAGCAGAGTCCCCTCGAGGGCAGCAGGGCCCAGCTCTCTGCAGCCCCGTGACAGATGCTGACTGCAGGTGGGATGAGCAGCTCTGCTGTGGGAGCAGGGCAGGAGGGGATGCTCTCTGAGCTCCCAGCCCTGCTCCATGGCTCAGTGAGGAGGGAAAAGGGGCTCCTTGTGCCAACCTGGCCCTCCCAGCTGGGACCCACCAGGTGCTGGGAACACGGAATGCTGGAGTGCTGTGGGATGGAAGGGACCCTGAGCATCACCCAGTGCCCCCCTGCCATGGCAGGGCCACCCACGCTGTGATCCAGCACAGATGACAGGGAAGCTCAGGTTGCTCTGATTTGGGAAAGGCTCTGTTCAGGTGCTCGTGTCACTGTGCACCCTGCCAGCCCTCTGAAACCCCAAATAAAGCAAACACAGATCCTGCAACCAGCTGGAGCTGCTGAATGCAGCAGGAGCTGCACTGCAGCCCCCACATGAGGGAGGAGCAGGCACAGTGCTCATCCAAGGACCTGACACAGTCTGAAACAGCTCAGGGGCAAGGAGGAGCAGGGCCAGGGGAGCTCCAGGAAATCCCTCCCTGCACATCCCCCCGAGGGCAGAGGGAAGCAGGGAGCTGCCAGGGCTCAGGTAAGAGGGAAGGAGCTGATCCATGCATGAACCCAGCTCCCAGCAGGACAAGCTTTTGGCCTGTCTGCAGGCAAACAGAGCAGTGGAACCCCACTGCTGAGGAGGGGGATCTGCTAACAGGGCCCTCCAGAGGGCTGCCAAGGCCAGCAGCTGGCAGCAAGAGTGCCTTCTCAGCCTTGGCAAGTGCACCAACAACCTGTTTGTGAGTCAGTGGTGGTGGCTGTGCCCTGCTTCCCTCTGACAGGGCCCTGAAATTGTGCAGAAAGGAGACTCCCCTCTCCTGTGCAGCAGAACCTGCTCCCAGTGCATGCTGAAACCCCAGAGGAGGCTCAGACATGAGGAGTCTGACTCTGATTCAGGTGCTCTGGTTACCACACAAACAGTACAGATCTGTGCAGGAGTGATGCATTCTTACAGAAATAATAATATACAATAATAATATAAATAATATAAATAATAATAAATAAACATGTACACACACACACACACCCCTCCCCAGGGCTCTGCTTCCAGCCAGCTCTGCCACTCTTCAGGAGCAGAGCCTTCAGTTAAATAACAAACCTGTTTAATTGCCCTAAAGCTGCTGCAGTCACTGGGTCACCTGCAATCCTCAGCTGGACTAAAAGCTGTCCGCTGGGGAGTGCCCGGGCTCCACGATCTGAAAGCCCTGCCCAGCTTTAGCCCTTCCATGGTTCCTGAGCCCCCTGCCCTGCGCTGGTGCCAGTCCTGGGGGTGCTGCCAGCCCTGCAGCTCAGAAATGCTGCCCGAATGAGCCTGTGCCTCAGTGCTGGCCCTGATTCCCCCGGGCTCAGGTCCTGCCCTGGCTGCTCCTGCACAGGGGGGCTGGGGTGCACCAGTGCAACCCAGCGGGGACAGCAGTGCTGCCACAGAGCACACACGGCTCCCGTGCAGCAGGGCAGCCGTGCCAAGCAGCACCCTGCATCCCAGCATGGCACAGGGCACCGCTGCAGGCAGGAAAATGCACCAGCTGCAGGCAGAACAATGCAATTCACCGCCTCCCATGCAGCACATACTGCACCAGCTCCAGGCAGGAAAATGCATCAGTCCCCATGCAGCACAATGCAACTCACCAGCTCCCATGCACCAGCTCTCATGCAGCACACACCGCACAGGCTCCCATGCAGCACACACTGCAGCAGTACCCATGCAGCAATCCCTTCACTCTCACACCTGGCATGCAGGTGTAGGAGCCACTCTGGCAGAGTTCTGTCCCAGTTAGCAAAGGCACTCCTCGGGCCACAATTAACCCCTCGTTATCAGAGGTTAACACACAGCAGCTCAGAGCAGGGCCGGGAACACCCCCCAGGCTCCCATGCAGCATGCAATGCGCCAGCTCCCATGCAGCACACATTGCTCCAGCTCCCCTGCAGCACACACCGCACAGGCTCCCATGCAGCACACACTGCAGCAGCCCCCATGCAGCACACAATGCACAGGATCCCATGCAGCACACACTGCAGCAGCCCCCATGCAGCACACACTGCACAGGCTCCCATGCAGCACACAATGCACAGGCTCCCATGCAGCACACAATGCACAGGATCCCATGCAGCACACACTGCACAGGACCCCATGCAGCACACACTGCACAGGCTCCCATGCAGCACACAATGCACAGGATCCCATGCAGCACACACTGCACAGGACCCCATGCAGCACACACTGCACAGGCTCCCATGCAGCACACAAGCAGCTCAGAGCAGGGCCGGGAACACCCCGAAAGGCTCCTGAAGGGCCCAAGCCCCTCAGCCTCACCCCGGGCCGAGATCCTCCTGCTCTCCAGGGGGTCACCATGGTTGTGCCTCCTGTCCCCCCCAGGGCCAGCATCTGCTCTGCTAAGGACTCCTGGCACTCCTGACAGCAAACACACTCTGCACAGCTGAGGTGTCCTGGATGGATTCCTGCAGCCTGCAGGGAACAGTCCCTGCAGAATCCCCAACGGCTGGCACTCAGGAGTGCAGACACTCCACAATCCCAGCCACCAAAGGCACCTGGCCTGGAGCCTCAGCTCTGAGCAGCGACAGGCCAGGTCCCTGACCCAGGGCTGGTGACCCTGATCAGACTGTCCCCTCTCCAGGAAATCCTGAATTTCAGAGGGAACGTGCACTGTTGATCCCTCCCAAACACCACACTTTGCGGGTGAGCATTTCACAGTGCAGCAGCTGTCCTGCATGTGCTGCCTGCGAGAGCTGGAATGAGGAGCCTGAGCCACCCTGGAACCATCCCCAAGCAGGAGTGAGGTGACACAGTGCCACACGTGGGACTCTGCCTTGGCTCTGCTGCCAGGTGAAGAAATGCCTCTGCAAAGCTGCACCTGGCAAAGCTGGAGCCAAAGCACAGAGCTGCTCCCTGCAACCACATCAAAGACAGAGAAATTAGGAATCACTTGGCTGGCCTTGCAGAAGCTGCATGTTCTACAGGACAGGAGACCTGAGAATAAAACTGTCCCTGGAAGTGACAAGGAGCCCTGTGGAGCAATGGAAAACCAGGCAGCAATGCCCCACTGCTGCTCACAACCACTAAGGGCTCCAGCCAGGAGAAGCCACCTCAGAGGTTTTTTGTGGGAAAATCCTCCCTTTGACAATGTTTAACTGAGATGTGCAAGCAGCCCCTGTCACCACCACAGCTCAAAGGAAAACCTGTGTCTGTGTGCAGCTTTCCTACAAACAGGGGAGCAAATCATCACAACGGGTTTATTTTGCCCAGAACAGACAAAATAATTAAACCTTGCAAGACACAATCTGTACAGGCACATGTGTGCATGGTCTGGGGACAAAGGTTTGCCCAGCCCCACAGTGCCCTGCTGGAGATGATTCTGAGCCCGTGTGACATTCCTGGGAATAAATTTATATCCACCTGCAGACTAGGGATCCAAAAGAGGGTCCATAAGGAGAGTGGGAAATCTACTCCCACATGGGAGTGCCAAGCATGAAACAGAAGAGTGCAGGCTGCAGGAGAACAGGACAGGCAGGTGTGCAAAGGAAGATCACCTTTCCTTCTCCCCATTTTTAATTCATGGCTTTGGAGTACACCACCAGGTGCTTGAGGGTCACCTTCATCTCATTTATTGCTTCACTTCACTCATTCAATTAGTTCTTACTTATTACACCAGATGCAGACACTTCATCCCCGTTGTTTCTTCTGTCCCACAAAGATGACAAAACCTGTGAAGTCTCAATTTAAAAGAGCTTCTGGGTGGGCCCAGAAGGGAGCAGGCAGACTCACCAGCAGGCCAGGATGCAGAGGGCAGTGAAGAGGATGATGGGGATGGGGTAGGAAGCGCAGAGCAGCCCGTGGCTGTAGAACGCCCGCGAAATCCTCTCGCGCAGCCTTTCAGTCAGGGTCATCCTCACCTGCAGGCCATCCCGGGCCACAGCAGCGAGGGCAGCCCTGCAGGGGGGCACTGGCTCCAGCTGGGGAGGGCAAAGGGGACAAACAGTGAGCAGAAGGGAAACAAACCTTACCAGCTCCTTTTGGAAAGATCCCCAGCGTCCAGGAAGGAATCGTCCCTGGCAGGGTGGGCAGGGCTGGCACAGGTGCCCAGAGCAGCTGGGGTTGCCCTGGATCCCTGGCAGTGCCCAAGGCCAGGCTGGACAGGGCTTGGATTGTAGAAGGTGCCTCTGCCATGGCAGCAGTGGAACTGGATGATCCTAAAGGCCCTTTGCAGCACAAACCCTCCTGGGATTTATTTCTTGGTTCCATGAAATGACTGAGCAGATCTCAACTCACTGCCAGGACTGGACCATCCCTGTTCCAGGAGGAACTCAACAACAACAGGGGGCAAAAAATACACCAGAAGTGGCTCTCTGAGCAGCCTGAGCTGCCAGAAGGTGCTCTGGGGAGGAGCAACAATTTCTGGTCATTTCAAGGAGGAAAACTTTCTATTTGCTCTCTTCACCTGCTGCCAACAGCAGCACTCTGTAAGAAAACACAGAGCATTCCAAAGCTGTGTTTCTGTATCACTTGGGGGGTTGCATATTAAACTCTGCCATCTTTATTTGCTTTATGCTGTGACAGAGCTCCTAAGAGTGAACAGCAGGAACTGCTCCTGCTCCAAGGCATTTCTGCAAACAGAGATTGTCTAAGCCAAAATAAACCTGTGGATTGCAGGACAAATGTTAAAGGAGAATTTCTTGCTCCTTGCATGGTTGCAAATCCAAGACAAAGCTTGCCTGGAAGCTCGAGGGCAGAGGATGTGTCCCTTGCAGCACACAGGTGACATTTCTGGTTTGCTTCAGGTACCAGAGATGGACACAAGAATCCCAGGATCAGCGAGCTTGGAAAAACCCCCAAGGCCACTGAGTCCAGCCTGTGCCCCATGCCCACCTTGTCCCCAGCCCAGAGCACTGAGTGCCACCTCCAGGGACACCTCCAGGGGTGGGGACTCAGCACTGCCCACACTTAACACTCTTTAGGGAAGGAATTTCCCAAATTTCCATCCCGCCGTTCCCTCTCCTCCTGTCCTGTTCCCTGGAGCACAGCCCGAACCCCCTGGCTCCTGCACTCTCACAATGAAGGAATTTCCCAAATTTCCCAAATTTCCACCCTGCACTCCCCTGGCCCAGCCTGAGGCCGTTCCCTCTCCTCCTGTCCTGTTCCCTGCAGCACAGCCCGACCCCCCTGGCTCCTGCACTCTCACAAAACCAAGGCTGACCAGCAGAGGGAAGAAATGCAGAACTTCCCTTTGCAGGAAAAATCAACCCAAACTTGGTACTTTTCCCCAGACAAAAGCTTTTATCTCACTCAACAATAGTTACATGTTCCAAATTCTTCACATTTCCTCTGCAAGGCTTTACAGCCTTCCCAGGAGCCTCCCTGCACACTGAGGGCAGGGAAACACAGCAGAGCCCACTGTGAGCTGAGAGGATAAACTAACAAAGGTAGAAGGGTTTCCCTTTTCCAACACACAGTCACCTGGGGTTTTAGGTGCACTCAACTCCTCAGTTTCCCACAAAATGTTCTGGCAGCAGGCTCAGCATTAGTGTAATAAATAGGGCCAAGCCAGTGAAGCTGGAGAGGGGAAACAAGGAAAAATCCCAAATAAATCCCTGTTCCATAGTGCTTTCAGTACATTCAGTAATTTGCTCCACGGTGTTGCCTACATCTGAACCTCCAAAGGGGATTTTAACCAAAGGGAAGGGGAAGGGGAAGGGGAAGGGAAAGGGAAAGGGGAAGGGAAAGGGAAAGGGAAAGGGAAAGGGAAAGGGAAAGGGAAAGGCTCAATGTGATGCTCACAGCCCTGAGGGCCAGGTGGGCCAAGGACCACCAGCAGTAATTCCCTCTCCTGCTGCAGGCACTGCCTTGTACCCACAAATCCACCAATCCCACAGAGGCTCCAGGGGGAGCAGAGAACCTCCTGCCTTCAGAGCAGCCCCAGAACTCGTGGAAGCAGCAGCAGTGGCACCAGAGCAGCTCAGATTGCTGCATGACTGCCACACCTCAGCTGGACAGAGCCTCCCTGCTATCCTGAAACACAGGCAGGGTTACAGGTGCTTCCCCCACTCCTGGCTCCTCCCAGCTCACACGGAGCACAGGATCCATCACAAACCCAGCTCATCCACGGGCTCCCAGCCCTCCCCACTGCCCCTCCCAGCACCACGGGCACCCCAGAGCAAGGGAAATCTGGCTCCCTGCAGATCAGAAAGCACATCCTGGGCTGCTCACACCCCAGCAAAGCAGCTGCATTTCCTTGCCCTCCATCGGGCCCTGGAGGTGGCTCAGGGCTCCGATGCTCTGAGCCATCAGCCACTGCTGTCACTGCCATGGGAGCCCCCAAACCCCACTGCCCACAAAGGGAGAGAGGCACAGACCTGAACCCAGCTCTCCTCTCCTCAGCAGGCAGGGACTGGCCCCCATGCAGAGCCAGGGAACATTCCTCAGGGCTCCAGAGGTGGGAAAACAAGAGCCTGCCTCCAGACAAGCTCCTTCAGAGAAAAGCTGCACAATGGGCTCTAACAGCAAGGTCCTGCTCTCCCCTGGCATTCCCATGGGAAGAAAAAGGGCCTTTGTGCTGCCAGAGGACACGGGGGTCACGAGGCAAGGCCTGCCTGCAAGGGGTTAATCCCAGCACTGCTACCAGGGGCAAGGCCTGCCTGCAAGGGGTTAATCCCAGCACGGCTATCAGGGGCAAGGCCTGGCTGCAAGGGGTTAATCCCCGCACTGCTACCAGGGACAAGGCCTGGCTGCAAGGGGTTAATCCTACTGCTGCTGCCAGGAACAAGGCTGGGCTGCAAGGGGTTAATCCTACTGCTGCTGCCAGGAACAAGGCCGGGCTCTAAAGGGTTAATCCCAGCACTGCTGCCAAGAACAGGGCCGGGCTGCAAGGGGTTCAGTTTTTGAGCCACATTTCCACCCCAAACTGTGCAGCCTTACTTCATTTCCCCATTCTGCCTGACTTCCCCAGCTTTGCCCCATTTCTTTTTTCTGTTTTCCTCCCCGTACAACATTCATGGTGTAAGTTTAAAAATTCCGAGGTTGTCTGGAACTGACCCGTTTTATAAGGGGCATTTCACTCACATTACAGATTGTTAACATCTCTGGAAAAGCTGGAGTAGCAACGACAACAAAGATCTGAAGAGAACACTTCAGTAATCTCCGTATGCCAGATAAAGTTTAGGGTTTGGGTTTGAAAATTCCGAGGTTGTCTGGAACAGACCCGTTTTATAAGGGGCATTTCAATTGTTACAGATTGTTAACATCTCTGGAAAAGCTGGAGTAGCAACGACAACAAAGATCTGAAGAGAACACTTCAGTAATCTCCGTATGCCAGATAAAGTTATCTGCTCCCAAAACAGGGGCTGACATTCAAAATCAGTCTCCAAAACGGTTTTCAGGACATCTTTAAACGTGTCTGCCACAAGAGAAGAACCCAGTTACACTCCTGCTTCGGAAGTCATTCCCTGAATGTGGTTTCCATCCTTTCTTCCTTCCCAAAATGCTCCCAACTTGCTGATGCTGTGGATCATGAGACAGGATGGGATGTTCCACACCAGAGGCACGAAGCACAGAAGTTGGGGTTTGGGACAGACAGAGAAAATACCCACATTTAGAAAAACCATGATTTCAAAGTTCCCTCCTCTGCTTGCATCCAGCCAAGGGAAGCTCCCTTGCACAGAGATCCCAAACACAGGGAAACAGAGAACAGAGATCCCAAACACAGGGAAACAGAGAACAGAGATCCCAAACACAGGGAAACAGAGAACAGAGATCCCAAACACAAGGAAACAGAGAACAGAGATCCCAAACACAGGGAAACAGAGAACAGAGATCCCAAACACAGGGAAACAGAGAAGAAGAACAGAGACAGGGAGCAGCTCCCAAGGGTGCCCAGAGACAGGGAGCAGCTCCCAAGGGTGCCCAGAGACAGGGAGCAGCCTGGGAAGGCTCCTCCAGCTGCAGCAGTTTGATCAGGAAGGGACCCCAGGGATAAGTGTGTGTGCAGTTCCCTGTGTGCATCAAACCAGAGCAGCAGCTCAAAACAAACCCAGCTAAGCCAGGAAATCCTCTGCCAGGACCCTGTGCCCGTCTCGGGGGCACAGGCACACAGTGTGTGTGCAGCTCCCTGTGTGCATCAAACCAGAGCAGCAGCTCAAAACAAACCCAGCTAAGCCAGGAAATCCTCTGCCAGGACCCTGTGCCCGTCTCGGGGGCACAGGCACACAGTGAGCACTGCTGAGCACAGCCAGGTCACTTCCCTGGGCTCCAGGGCCTGGCACACGGGGCTGGCTGGCTGCAGGGTGCCCAGCCTGCTCTCCTGGTGCCCTCCTGGCCCCGCTCAGGAACCACAGGGACAGAGAGGCCAGAGCCAAAGGCTGACACAAAGCCTGATCCCACGTGCTCCCTTTGGCATCAATCCTCCTCTTTGTTTATCCGTGCTCCACAAGTGGCCAGGGAATCACTTTCTCCTAAAAATACAGAGCCTGATGCAAGAGCCCCGTGCAGTTACATCCCAAAACCCCAGCTGGGCAGTGCCACCTCCCCTGGCCCTCCAGGCCGGGCACAGGCACTCACTCATCCATCCCTACTCGGGCTGGAGCCTGGTGTGAACAGCCTGTCCAGCACACACCTGCAACGTTCCTCCTCTTCTACTACAGGTGGTAATTCTACTCGTGCTCCTTTCCAATCCTCCCCACCAGAGCAGGGTGAACATCTCAGCCCAAGCTGCTTGTTTGGGGTACAAAATAGGCAAAATGCTTTTGGGTCTTCTGCCTGGGCTTGTGCAAAGTCTTGGGGTCCAACAGGACCTGGAGCTGCTCCAGAGCTGGGAGAGCTGGGAATGTTCACCTGGAGAGGAGAAGCTCCAGGGAGAGCTCAGAGCCCCTGGCAGGGCCTGAAGGGGCTCCAGGAGAGCTGCAGAGGGACTGGGGACAAGGATGGAGGGACAGGACACAGGGAATGGCTCCCACTGAAGGAA